TAATAAATATAATGATAAATATAAAGATAAAATATAATATAAAAATAGAAATTATAAAAGTAAAGGTAAATATTAAAAGATTAAATTAAGTATTAACTAGGAGATACAACTCTGTTCTAGTTTCTTAAGCTATTGAGAACTTTAAAACTTCTTCGACTCCCTCTTCCCAGACCAGGGAAGACTCATATTTATATTCCTTTGATCTGCTGTACGCAATGATCTAACAAATTAATGATTTACCAATTTTAGCAAGATGTAATTAACCTGGTGATCTACCTGTTATGTGCAATAGGTAATTTATCTAGATAATTCATCTGGTAATCAACCTGGTGAGCTACCTGTTACATAATCTTTAATTAACATAAATTACAAATAAATAATAAATACATTAAATAATAATATAATAAAATAAATAAAATTAATATTCTACAACATAGTTAATATCACGAAAATTAATTTCAGCTTTAATTTTACCAATTTCTACAGTGAACTTTTGTATAATATGATACAAAAAGAAATATGTGATAATACCTCCCATACATAGAAGAATGTGTTCGGAAAATATTGTTATGAGAAAGAAAAACAATGAAGTAGTTAATATCAAAAAAGGTGCAATTTCTAAAATGTTGATCGAAGACATCTATACAAAAAAAAATCTGATTAGATATCAATTAAGTATGATGTATAGGGGCATTCAATCACAATCGAAGATACCTTATTTTGATTAAAGCTAAGTAGATTAATTTTTTGTTATCAATCATATATTTCAAATTTTTATAAATAGTGATCAATATAATATATTATTTATAATTTTTATGATTTTTTATGAATATTTAATAAATTGTAAAACAAACCAAATAAAATAGACTTAATGCCATTAATAAAACTTATTTTTACATCTATTTTTGATATTTGTACTTAAATATAGAAATTTTTTTTTTCTTTGTTCAAGAGAATCTCAAGATTTAAATTATAAAATTAGCTAGTGATTCCTACTATACTTGCACGTAAAATTATTTTGGGGCCCCGAAATTACAATTTTGAGGAAAAAAGTCGAAATAGTTTTTCATAGAAGACGAAATTATTTTATTTAAAACCCGAAATTTTTTGACCACCTAGATTTATTCTTTGATTAAAGATACATATAACTGGGTACTTTTTTTACTTCCATATATAGAATAGATTTTGCATAAATTTCAAAAAGTCAAAATACCTCAAAAATCCAAAATCAATTTTGGGAACATATATAATTCCTACTGAAAAAATGTCAAGTAATATAGTAAATTCAAATGAAGATTTTTTTGAAACACAAACTATTAATAAAAGTTATATTAATATTGATGAAAATGATATAGATGAAGTAGTTTTAGTATCAAAAATTTTTGAATTTAATAAAATAGAAATTGAGTGTAATGAAAACTTAGAATCTGATAATAAATATGATTTTGAAAATGATAGTAATGATAATAAAAAAGAATTAGAAATAAGAATGATGAAAATGATATTATAATTGAGCAAAAACTGTCAAATAATTTAATACCATGTATTATAATTAATAAAATAGACAGAAAAATTCAAAGATGTAAAAATGTAGAAATTTTTTGAAGATTGTAACAATTGATAAGGGTATGATAAATAGACCGTGATGTAATTTTAGAAGCCAATGGGTTTTTAAAAAATTTAGGAGTTTGTGGTTATCATTTTAATTATGACCAAAATAAATTACATAATTCAAAAGACAAACAATTAAAATTTATATCAGTTAGTATTCTTAATAGATGTAGATGTTTATTTTACAAAAAAATTTTTTATTTTTTTACTAAAAGAAATGGTTATTTAAAACATTTATGAAAATTACTAGATAAAAATATACAAATCATTTGTAATGGATAATATATATGTAATGCATTGGGTGAATATTATCTGATTTGTAAATTAGCTTTTGAAAATATTAAAAATCCATATTATATCTGTTCAGAATATTATGAATTAGAAGGTGATCACTTTCATGTAAAATCTAGCAAAGGCAAATTATCAGTATCTTGTATTAAACAAAAATATCATGATGATGATATTAAGAAAAATATAGAAATAATTACACATTGACTTTTATATGTAAAAGATATTAAAACTCAAGAAGAACAAGAAAAAATTTTAAAAACCTTTCTATCTCTTTATTTTTAATTTTTAAATGAAAATTATTAAGATAAAATAAATAAAAATCAATTTGATATTTTCATTTTTACAAATCAAATATAATCAATTATTAAATCTTCTAATATACCATTAGATACATTAATTAACATTAACAAAATTTCTTATCTTTTTATGGTTTGAACATTGACATGCTTAAATCAAATTTTAATTTATCCTGATGAAAAAGAATTAGAAAAAAAAGATTTGAAAAATTTGAAAAAATAGTTAATAATAAAATATAGCAATCATATAAATATTTGAAAAATAATCAAAAGTATTTTAATCACCTATTAGTATCACTAAATATATTAATACATTTCCTAAATTTTTAAAGATATTTTTTAAAAAAATATTTTTACAATTAGAAGTAAAAAAAAATAATACTAAATCAAAAAAAAATATTACAAAACAAACCTTACAAACAACTTTCCTATAAGAAATATGCATATTTAAAAAATACTTAAAATATAATTAAAATATTATTGAAATATTATTAAAATATATTTAAAATATATTTAAAATATACTTAATTATATTTGTGATAATCTACTTAAAATATTATTATTTTATAATTAAAATATATTTAAAATATACTTAAAAAATACTTAATTTAGGTAATGAGTAAGTATATTTTAAGTATATATTTAAAACATACTTAAAATATTATTAAAACATATTTAAAATTAAGTATATTTTAAGTATATACCTAAAACATACTTACTCATTACTTAAATTAAGTATTTTTAAGTATATTTTAAATATATTTTAATTATAAAATAATAATATTTTAAATAGTTTTTATATACTTAAAAATATTTAATAAAATATATTTTGAATATATTTTAAATATATTTTAAGTATATTTTAAATATTATAATTTTTATAAGATAAATATTCTCGATTTTTTTATTCTAGTTAGTAGTATTAGTATTTCGTATTTGTTATTTACGCTTCCAATTTTTTATATATTCTATAACACAAAAGTAAAATATATGATATTTTTTTGCCATTGTATTTGTTGCATCAGGCATTACTCCTATTAATCTTTTAATTTCTTTGATAACTTCATCAAATAGGTATGTTACATTAGCATCATAATATTCTTTATATATGTGTTCCATTTTATCAATTATAACTGATCTTTAATATACACCTGCCACCCAAATTCAAAATCCAAATGCCAAAATTCCAAATGCCAAAATTCCAAATCCCAAATTATGATTAGTATTTTTTGCTGAAATCCCAAATCCCAAATCCCAAATACTAGTAATTTGGGATTTGGACAACACGTATACTTTAATATTTATTTTTATTATTTAATATGACTAATATACATATACTACAAAATATTAACTCTAATAAAGGTTATCGTCTTAATAATATGCAGGAACAAAAACTCAAAGAAACTTTACATTACAGTTTAAAGTTGATATCTGAGCTAAATAATTGTAATGAAGTATTGTAATCTAATTACTCAAAACAAGTAAAAGCTTTTGATTAAGAAAGAAAAAGATGAAATTGAAATTTATTGTATTATAGTACTGAGTTTCAAAAATTACATACCTATATTTTATAAATTATTGATAAAGATAAATAACTTCAAAGTGAGAATACTAACCTTATATTTCAACTTACCTAATCACAGATTTCTCATGCTAAGTATAAAGTCAAATATGATATTCAATTGAAAGAAATAAAATTGTTCCAGTTAATAAACAAGATATTTAAAAATAAGTTGACACTAGTTCAAAAGGACACATTTTCAATTCAAAATGGTTTATTAAGTAAAGAATATAAGATCCAGTCTCTCAAGTCTGAATTGACGAATATAAAGAATAAATTGGCTTTGAGAATTAATAAGCTTGAGCATCTGAAATCAGAAGATATATTTTAATTTGTGATTGATGGAGATAACAAAAAAAAATAATCAAATCTGATATATCTGTAATTAATGAACTTAGCAAAAGTCTCAGGTCATTTCTAGTACACAGAAAAAATATAGATTAAGTAATACATAGTGCTGAATTTTTGATTCTTGAAAAAATCAATAAAAATATGTATTTTGATATAAACCAGCTTTTAACTGATATTAGTTCTGCTATTCTAACTTATACTAATAATCCTATACCCGAGTTACCAAAAGTCGACATTGAGACTAGTCCCAAGATAAGTAATAAAATCAATATTAATGAAATTAACAAGGATAATAAACTAGATACGTCTATAAAATCTGTTATATTATATCCTCAGATTTCAATAGAAAGAATAGAAATGATAAGACCTAGTTTAGAAGCTTTGCTTTTTCTTATTGTGGCAAGTGGTTTAATGATATTATTATTGGTATATATCTTTTTTATCTTATTGATTATTATAGTTATGTAGTTTGTTATTTAGAGACATATATGGGACATAGGCAAAAAAAGTGAATGGTTGTGAAATATATAAATTGGATAATAAGATTATCTATTTGAACTTGAATAGCATTAGTATCATAGAAGAAATTTTTCAAGAAATATATATACCTATACAAATATATATATATTATAAAATTATATTTTGATAAGTTATCAGGTAAAAATAACTATTAGACATTACATACCTTATTATCAGGTGATATTTGAATAAATTATGTAAAAGATCATAAATATTATATTCCGTTATGCTTCACATCTGAAGTTACTATACTCCTCTATAATAGAAAATAATTTAGTAACCAAATATAATAACTATATTCCACTATGTTTTACATCCAAAGTTACTATGCTCCTATGTGACAGAAAGTAATTTAGGAATAAAAGAATATATATTTTGTAATTGATGCATCACTTGAATGACTTGAGTTTGTAATTGATCTATCACTCAAGTGACTTGAGTTTTGTGATCGACCCACTACTCAAGTGATTTGAGATCTGCAATCAACCTATCACTCAAATAACTTAAGTTTTGCGATCCATACATCATATCTAATCAGAAATAATTTAGACTAACCGGAAATACTATAATTATAGTATTTCCAGTATGTGACTTTTTTATCACTGGTATTAAATACCACTGGTATTAAATATCAATGGTGTGATTTAACAATGTTTATAATAAAATTTTACATTATTAATATTTTTATAAAAAAGTCATTTTGTTCAAATACTGTTTAACAGTGGTACTTATACATATTTCACAGTAAAAAATTATGTCAATTATGTCAATTGGTAAAATAATTATATCAAATTATATTTATAAATTATTTTACTTAGTAATACTTATAAAAAATTGTAATATGTTAAATTATGTCAATGTTACGTTAAATAATATAATAGTATTAATTGTAAAAAGGAAATAGATTCACATAGAATCTTTTTAAACTATATTAAAATGGAGTTTCATAGATTATAACTCACATGGAATATACTTTATCTAATCATAATTTTATACAGAAATAATTAATTCTTACAAAAAATAATTAAATTAACTAATAAATCATATCTCACAGTCATTATCAAATTGTTAACTGAAATTTACTTTCAAAAGAATTCAATAAACCAGTAATTAAAAGCAGGAAAAATATATATATTCAATACTAAAATAACTATACTAAATATGCTATTGATGAACTTATATTATAGAAGAAAGTATAAATATAAAGATTTTGTTATGGTTAAAAAGGTGAGATTTTTGATAAGGATATGTGTCACTAAGATGATATTTCACTAAGAAGAGTTACTAAACAAGTCACAAAGACAAAACTATACTATATAAGTCACTAAGACAAAAACTATAACAAATACTAGTCACAAAGACAAAAGTAATTTACCAAAAATTTAAAAGAAATTTTACCAAGAAACAAAAAGATATTTTTATTAAGAAAATTAATAATAATTTTACTAAGGTTGTTGCCAAGACTATTACAAGGAAATAATTTACTAAGAATTATTATAAATTATAAAAAATTTTATTAATTGCAAGTTAAAGAATTAAAGACCGAAAAGAAAGGAATTCAGTTCTTTATATACATATTTGAAGTTATAATAGATTACATTGTAGATTACACTAATGCATACACTATTAATTATGCTAATGTATATATTATCTATTACACTGTCTATTACACTTTTGATTTTACTGTTGATTACTATAGTCATAATACATAATAGTTATACTAATTTCTAACTGATTTACATTAATAAAATTATGTTAATATATATTAAATAATATATGAAATACAAATAATAAAAAATAAAGAATAAAACTAACAATAACAAGACATTTTCAAAGACAAAAATTTAATACAAAATTTTTTTGACAATAGTCAAAAGATTATTTTATTATAAATTTATATTTTATAATAATACATTAATTAATACATTATTATTAATATCAAATAATATTCAATTGGTGAAAATATTTTTTGAAATTTAATAGACATATAAAGTGATACCAAAGTTACATTTTGATATTTTTTGATGCAAAAATTATCATTTACGTAACTTTAGCTGTTCGATTTTTTGATAATGATTATTAGATAACGATCACATGCCATGATATTACATTGATATTTTATTTTTTATTACTAATAAATTATAAATTTATTAATTTGATATGATAATAATTTTTGATAACAATAATATCATAAAATTAATCCATCATTCGAGCTCATATATCCCATCATTAATCAATCTTTTTTAATATCGTGAATTAACAATATTTCTATTGTTTTAATATTTTATTTATTATTATTCTCGATAACAATAACGTTATGAATTTAAATCCATCATTCGATCAATCGTATTCCTATATAAACAATCCGAACTCGCGAGGCATATTTTTACCTCCTATTCTTATAATAAAAATAAAAATAAAACAAAATATAAATAAGATAATAATAATTATAAATGCCCGGTTCAAATGCTAACTGGTAAAGGAAAATTTTTTGTGAAAATGAAAAGTATTGGTGACACTATATCCAAATTCAGACCTCTCAATATTCTATAACATTAATAATATAATAAAATATAATAAAATATAATAATAAAATATGATAATTAAATGTAATGATAAAATATAATCTAACGGGGAAAAAAATAATAATAAATTAATTTAATGTTTGTTTATTATCCGTTACGTGAAAAAAAAAAAATTGAAGATCTAAAAACAAATATTTAATTTTTTTTTTTTATATCAATTATTTTAATTTAATTTAATTTAATTTAAATCGACAATACCAGGAAATCTTGTTAAATGTGGTGAAATGAATATATTGAATGTAGTAAGATGTAGTAAAAATGTAGTGAAAATGTAATGATGTAGTAACTGACAAGGAATATTTATTGAAAAAATGCATACGAGATCATAAAGGTAAATAATAGATATGCTATTATAAATATTTGGAAAACAAATCCAAATATTAAATCTTTTTTATATTACATTTTACGCATGCATTAAATGACTTTTTGCCTTTTTGACTTTTAAAAAAAAATGATTTTAAAAAAGATTTTAAAAATAACTTTATTAATGTTACTAACTTTAAAATTAGAAAACTAACCAAATGAATTATTTTGTATTACATTATTTTACGTCTGTTTGGCATTGGTTAAACACTTGTTTATAATATACACTATTATTATTACTAATTATTACAAATTTTATGTATTTTACATTGGTTTTAAATTAATTATTCATACATGACGTACATACAAACGCGCACTTTTTTTTTTGACGCTATCATTAATAATAATGTGAGCATAATTCCCATTTTAACCATTAAAAAGCTCTCTCAACTTTCTCCTCCACTAGACCAATCAGACAATCAGACTGACCAATCAGAAATCAGACTAACCAATTACACAACATCAACCAATCATTTTAAATTACCCATTTCTTAACTCGTACATATCAATCGAAAAAATTTTAAAAATAACCCAAAATGGATATCAAAAAGAATAAAAAAGTGTTTATTGTTATTGATATAATCAATTTCTCCGTTTTTTTTTTGATTTCCCACAAAAAAAAAAAAATTAACAAAGAAGAGGAAAAAATTTTTCAAAGGAATGAAATGCAACAAATGCATCGTACAGACCTTTTTCTTTATCAACCAAATGTATGTTATTCATGTCATGTATGTAATGTACTGTATATTGTAAGAATATTAAAAATGATATAATTTTGTATGTTTGACTGAATGAATATAAATTGGAATGTGCCATTGTAATGTCATTGTTGTGTTATTTGTGGTGATTTATTATAGTGTCATAATCTCCTGCATTTGTGCTCCAATATTTGATTATGTATTTTTTGATTTTTTTTTTTTTGATATGTGGTTATGTGTTGTGTTTAATGTAGTTGATATATTGAATATGTGGTTTGATATATTGAATATGTAGTTTAATGTATTGAATATGTATTTGATATATTTGGTAATATATTTGGCATGTATTTGATATATATTTGATAGAGAGAAAGAAATCTATGAGAACAATGGGTATTCTTTCCACGCGATATTAAGTTGAATAAGAAATGAAAAAATGGGTAAAATGAATACGAATTAATTCATCTAAAAAAAAATTTTTTTCTCCTGTAATTTTTTATCCCCCAAAAATTGGCACGTCGTCTTCTAATTTTTTGGTAACTGGGTTTTTTTTTTACTAAACCTCATCTTTGTTTCCAAAAAAAATATTTCCTAATATATTATTAACATCGTGTATAATCACGTGAGCATACAAAAATACAATTAGTGCATGTATTAATATGTTGTGTAGTTTACAATAAATAATATATTGTGCATAATATGAATATTTTGAATGTGTATATTTTTTTTTTGGGTATATTTTTACATTTTTGAATGTATTATTTTTAAGTGTAATTAATTATATTTTTTTTTGGGGCCTTATTATAGATCATTTAGGATGTAATAAAAAGAATATAGTTAAATTTCATTTTCTAAACAAAAAAAAAAGGAAATACTTTGTTGAAGATATTATATGTGTGTGGGGAATTATTTATTCTTATATGTATTTATTACTATATTATTGATACAACAAGTGTTACATATAATCGTGTCTACATTGTCATTTTACTTTATTGATAATTTCTTCATTACATTATTTCACCTATTAAAGATAATAGGAAAGGATGCAATTACTCTATTTATAAAATAATGGTATGCGTTTCTAATTAGTTTGTTGTTATCTAATCGGTCCTTTGTTTCTCTTTTGTTTTATTATATTTTTAATTTCATCCTTTTTCTTTATTTTATTTTATTTTTTTTAAATCCCCGTTTCGCATATTAGGTATTACCTAGCATACTAAATTTGTGGGGTATTCCCGTTCGTTTGATTTTATTAGTTTATTCATATTTTCTTTGATTAATTATATCATTTCAACGCATTATATAATTATCATTATCATAATAATAATTATTATTATTAGTTATTATTATTAATTATTTCTTATTAATTTAAGTAATGACTCGGTGAATTCTTTATATTATCATTATTATATATAAATTGATTGGTTGATGCATATATCAATAAATATATCAATTATAAATTGGCATTATTGATATAATCCTTATCACTGCATGTGCCCCTTGAAACTATTTTTTTTTTTTTGCATACATATATTTTCATATTCACATAGTAATCTCAAACTTTATCTCGAAAAATGATATTTGATCGTAAATTATAACTTGTCATTATTAAATTGATTATTATTGGCCATTTTTATTACCTGATTATTATTATTGTTGCTTTATTTATGAATTAAAATTAAATTAATTATCAGAATTAGCAAATTGAGTAACAATCAATGACTTTCCATTATTGTTTATTCCCCCCATTGTTATGAAATAAAATTAATAAAGTTAATTAAGTTAATTAACTTAAAATATAGTTAATAATATAATCATTATCCTTATTTGGATAAAAGAATTAAATCTTTTTATAGTCGTTATTCTTCACTCTTAAAAAATCAATTATTTAATCACCCGATTATACATTTTTATCCGATTGTCGTATTAACTATTTAAAACTCATTATAGTTTATTTAAAGAAAGCTTTATACTCTTTATACTTTATTTTTATGATTGGATAAACTTTAAAAAAACTGATTCTCATATGATATCATTAATATTTCTCTCAAATTGGAATTGCTGAAAGAAACAAATCATTTCTATTTATTAATTCCATACTAAATGCTTACTAATGATTACTTAATTAAAATAAATAAATGTAGATTATAAATTATTTAAATTATTTTAAGTATCATTTATAAGGAAATGAAACTGGCGGGAAAATAAGGTTTAAAGGCAAGAAAAGCACGCGAGAATAAATCCGCATCACAATCACAAGCAAATAAATTATATGAAATTAACCAATAATATTTAACCTTTTAAATTTGTAACTAATCCAATAATGATTATTTTATCAATTTTCTTAAATCAGTGGCTGAAACAGCGGAGATTATATGATTTAAAAGAAATCTAAACAATAAGAATAATAATGATAATATTTAAAGATATTATAATAAATTATATTAATAAATAATATTAAAATACAATTTGATATTAAATATTATATTAAAAATGAAACCTCAAACATTAACGTTACATTTACACACAATTCTTTGTTTTTACTAAATACTAAACGGAATACAGATATTTTGACGTTATTAACGTGTTATTATTTGTGTTTGTTAAAAAAAAAAAAACATGCATAAAAAAATATATATATATAATCAAATATTGACATCTGCAATAATCTTACCTCAACATTATTTTAGCGTTATCTTAATATTATCTTAATATTTATCATTGATAAGGTTTTTCCATTTAATAGTGATTAAATAAAGTTTTTTTGTATAATATTAAGGTTAATTATTTGTTTATTTTTGATTTGAAATTGTAATTGTTTATATATATATATATATATATATATGTATATATATGTATATAGATATAGATATATATTTATAACCAACTTTGGAAAGTGTTGTCAATTTTCACGTCTGCATCTTTGCATCTTTCTTGAACCAATTATTCTGATTGCAAACCTATTTTTGATCTTGATTTGATTTTGATTTCGATTTTGATCTTTTATTTTGATATTGTATATCTTAACTTATTATTTTATTTTAATTTATTTTATAATCTTTATAATTTATTTTTATGATCTTTATAATTTAATTTATTTTTTTTTATGATCTTTTTAATTTAATGTCAAAAATATAAATAATTTTAGATGTAAAAGGAAATAAGATAATGTATTTATGTTGTAAACATGTAAATGCGTATATAATGCATAAAGAAGAACTCTCCGCAATTCAATTAAAAATTCAGTTTACCCGATCAAAAGCTATTATTATTTCCTTTTTGTTTAATTGAAAATTTCATGAATTGAATTCTTCAAAAATCAAAACCTGTCAAGAATCGTGCAACCAAATTACATAAATAAATGTTGTTATGATAATATTTGCTTATATTCCCACATTTGTTGATGTTTGTCAAAATTTGACAGGTTGCATTTTATCCATAATAAGATTGTTCGTAAAAACATTGTAAACATTGTGTAATTTAAAATATAAATTTAATTTCAATTTATATATATAAATATATATATATATCATACCTATATATTTATATTATTTACATATATCTTAAACATCACGTGTGCTTAACATATATTTTTTACGAGAAATTAAAAACAAAACATATTAATCTATATATTTATCATATATTACTAAGAGAAAAAAATGAACAAAACAAGACAGAAATTAAATACAATAAGAGTAAAATAACGGTGATGGCATGAACCAAAAAACGGCGCGGCTTCAATAATTATTTAAATATTTCGATGAAATTAAAAATTAAAAATTAAATTGAAATTAATGCGAAAGAATTATTCTTTGTCCTTTGAACAATTAAAGATCGTTGCACGATTGATAGAAATGCACGTCATTTAATACTTTTTTGTTTGCTTTATTTTTTATTTATTATTTACAAACATTCTGAAACAAAAAAAATAATAAATAAATAAATAAATTTATGTGTATTTGTTATATGTTTGAGAAATAATATTTATTTTTTACTTATTTAATATACATGAATATAATGTCAGCATTATATTAAATATAATGTCAGCATGATGTCAACTAATAAGCTAATCACTTATAATTTTGACAAACTTTTATGTAAACAGTGTATTGGATACATCATATATGAGTGACACCACATTAATGATTAATCTTGAATTTTATTGGTAGAAAGAATGAAAACGTGGTAAAAAAAAAAAACTAATAATATTTGTAAGTGCAGTCAAAATTATTATTGCATATATAAATAATATTATATAAATCTGGTTTTTTTTTTTTCATTATAAATATTATATAAAATTATTATTTTAAATTATAAAATGATTGGTAAGGAATCCAGACCAGAATATTTATTCTGATTATAATTTTGAAATTTCCTATTTTAAAGTTTTCAGAATTTAAATTTGACATAAGATAATAGGTTATATGAGTACGAGGTTATATGAGTACGATTACATCAATGGAATGGTGATACCTTGCGTGACGTTAACCAACATTAGTTGGATATGCTTGGTTTAAAATTTTGGATCAATTAAAATTGAGCAGATGAAAAAAAAATAATGGTCAAAAATGTGATTAAAAAATTTATTGATTAAATGATTTTATTAATTTATGAAAATCATTAACGACACGAAAACGAAATAAATGAAATTCAAAAAAGAAAAGCATAAATTATGTAATTATTATTTAAAAATTATAATTATTATATAATTATTTAATTATTTATTATTTTTTTATTCATATTAATAATATTTTATAATTTTTTAATAATAATAATAATTATTTTTATTTAATCTTATAATTATTATAATAATTTTTATTATTTTTTTTTTTTTAATTTTTATAACAATTATTATAATTATGATAATTATTATTATTTTTATAATTTTATAATTATTTATAATTATTTTATAGTTATTTATAATTATTATTTTATAATTACTTTAAATCTATTAATTTATTTTAATTTATTTTAATTTATTTTCAATTATCTTTTATTTTATTTAAAAGGAGAAATAATGATTTCTTAAATTGTTTAATTCGCTTAAATTGTTAAAGTGGCTTGAACACCAAAATAATTAATCAATTTAAAAACAAACCACAATTAAACTTGAACCTTTATCTGGTTTAAACCAATTATAAAATAAAAATTAGAACCCTAATATTTCTTCTTTTAAAGATCAAATTCCTATTTTTTCGAGACAAGCCTGCAATTTTCAAAAAAAAAAAAGAAAATTAAACTGTATGTTTTATGTGGGGGTCACTAAAGAGTTGAGAAAATGGCGCGTTTAGAAAATATTACAATTGTGATATTAAAAAGGGTTAATGCATTATCTAAACAAAAAGTAATTAATTCTTTCCCTTATCGGATAGGGATATTTTTGAAATTATATTATATGAAATCAATTTCATTTGGAAAGGAATTATGATTAAAATTTATTAAAATTTATTAAAATTATTAACAAAAAATTATTTAAATATTAACAAAATTTTCAATTTTGTTTCAAAAAAAAATTTTTTTTTTTAACATAAATAATAGATCTTCAAATTGCATTGTGAAAAATAATATGAAAGATATAACTAGATAAAATATATAATGTTTATAGTATAGTAAAATAATATGTACTTAATTATAGTAAAAATATTTTTAAATGTATATTTATTAGATTATACTATTAATTGTATATTTATATATATTTTTTCATTAATTATATTAATTATATTGTTGAATGTAAGTATTAAATTTAGTTAGAAATTTCTATACCGCTTTTTAAATTTTGGTGAAACATCCAAGCATCCGAATATTTACAACAGAACCGAATTTTTTTTCATATATTAATATATATTCTTTATAAGTATAAGTTTAGTTTATATATATTTTATATAATAAAAATAAATTTTCTTTTTCCTTTAAAAAAAAAAAATTTGAAATTTATAACTGTACTATATATATTAAAATTTAATATATTTAAGTCCAAAACTTTTTGCCCACGTTTTATCAAAACCTCTACTCGTCAAAGTTTTTACGATAATTATTTCATTGGCAATAAATAAAAAAAAAAAGATATATATACCGAACAAACTTTTATGAATTTCTTTGTTGATTTTACTGTCCTTCAGTAACGTCAACGACTTCCAAATTCTCTCCTAAATATCATTTGTATGTATATACGTTTTTATTTATATAATATGTTTATCCAAACAATGATTTAATTATTAAATTGTACATCGTTAACCTTTTTGGTTTATAATTTGTTTTTTTTCTAGACGAAGCGCCGTCATTTTAGTAGAATTTTTAAAAAATAATATATTTCACCATCCTTTTCATGCCACTCTACGTCCTTTTATAAATTACGTTTTTTTGTCTATCGAGGAATAACTTTTTTTTAAAAAAAATCACACATTTACAAACCATTACCCTTAAAGAGATCTTTACATATTTGAACGACCTCTAATAAATAATAATAATCATAATAATGGACATTAGAATTTTATTGAACCACGAAGATTTCAAAGGGCCAACAAGCCCTGCATCCAGTGCCTCCAGTGAATGCGATTCAGAGACTATAATTGATAATGATCGTCCATACGAATGCAGTTGGATAGGTTGTAGAAAAGCATTTTCACGACGCTCAGATCTCGCCAGACATAGAAGAATTCACACTGGTGAACGTCCATATAGATGCGAATGGAACGGTTGCGGAAAGCAATTTATACAGCGTTCAGCTTTAACTGTTCATTATCGCACACATACAGGTGAGCGTCCACATATTTGTGAATATCTCAACTGTAATAAATCATTTAGCGACGTAAGTATTATTATCATCATTAATCAAAATAATTTTTTAATAATTATATTTATTAATTACTTAACTCAATCTTATTAATTTGTCTAATTAGTCTTCGTCATTGGCGCGTCATCGTAGAACTCATACAGGAAAAAGGCCTTATGTATGTCCGCATTCCGGATGTGGCAAGACATTTACCCGTCGAACCACTCTCACAAGACATCAAAGATCTCATGATCCTCATTGGAAAGAATATAACACGTAATTAATTTTAATAATAATATTATTTTATATAAAAATTTTTTAAATAATAATTAATAATAATTCTTATAATTCTTATAATTTTTTTTATTAAAATTAATAAAATTAGTGCTTTCGAACCACGCAAAAAAACCTCATGTAACAATTGTCCAACACCTATCAATATTTATAATGGACCTCCAAGTCCTAAAAGTCCTTTAACATCAATTAATTGTTTTAAAACAATACCTGTTGAATATCATTTTCAACAAGCAAGTTATCCTTCCAATACAATGTGCAATAATCAAATTCTACCAGCAATTAGCTGCATTTATCTTCCCCCACCTATGGATGGTTCTCCTTTGACATCAAGCAGTCGTATTACTGCATTCAAACCGGTCGTCAAAGAAGTTAATGATCCCTTTAAACATGGTTACCCTTCACCTCCTCTTCAACGTGAATTATATTATTCTACTCGTAATATTTAAATTCTCATATTTTTCATTATACTCCATTAAAATCTCCATTATATTTCCATTATATTCCCGACAAACAAATAAACTTCGTTTCTTTTCTTTTCTCTTTTCTTTTTACATAATAATACTTAATATTGCTGGACAATATTTTTTTTCGTACATGTTCTTCCTTTTTTTTTTTTTCCGTAAACGTTTTATAGAAAGGCCAGGTCTAAAAAGGGATCTTTGTTATTGAATTAGAATTCACGAATTTCATTAAAAAAATATGTAAATAAAATATATTAAATATGCAAAAAAAAAAAATTATGATTACTTTGATTCTCCTTTTTTCTATATATTACGCCGCCTAAAACTTCATAGAAATCACCCCCTTCCCAATTGTAAGATAAAAAATTCCATCATCATTCTCACACACATAGATATAGATAAAAAAAAAAAGAGAACTCTCATATGCTTACTTCGTATAACATATTACATTTTTCGTTTTTATTTTCTCGTCACTTCACTTCATTTTCATGTTGAGAGAGATTTCCTCGATTCTTTCTAAAAAATTCATCGAAAGGATAATAATTTAAATTCGTCGTACTTTCCATTTTTTTCCTTATTTCGATTATATCCCTAATAATTATCTTCAATTAATTTTGAAATTCCTAATCTCAAAAAAAAAAAAAAAAACTCGGAGACAATATCCTTTCGTGTTACAAACACATGATGGGTTTGATCTTTAAAAACCCTCCTTTAAAAATTATGCAGAAGTTATACGATTTTTTTATGAAGAAATCACATAAGTATTAATGCAAATATATAGGTCATTAAATAGAATTTTCTTTATCAAAAAAAAAAAAAAAAATTAGTAAATCAAGTATAAAAACTATATTCTTAAAAAAGAAAAACGCGATAAAAATTGGTTTTCTCGACAAATTTCATTAATTGGCAAATAAATAAAAGTTGGTTGAATGGCTCTAGTAGAAATCAAAAAAAATTATATTACATACTTTTTAAAGTGTCCTATTTTTTTTTTTTTTTAGTTTTGTCTACCGCGTTTTTTTCGTGTTTTAAAAATGTAACCTTTGGCACATGATTACGGAAAATAGTATCGTTATTCTGCACGCTTGCATGAATTTAACTATATCAGTAAAAATGGCGCAAACGTAAGCCAGATGCCAAAAATTGATTTTTCTAAAAATTGCTTACTTACATATATTGCGTGATATCAAAAAGAAAAACAAAGATTGAAAACATCTATTGATATTATGCGGTAAATCACAAAGAAAGCATTCAGTTTTCACAAAGAAAAACAAAATCGTTTGCTTTTGCATGTTTTTAAATATATATTTTTTTTTAAAAAAAAAAAGACCATCTTATTGTTATTACTTACATTTTTACGCCATCGGTGAAAACCATAAAATTTTCGGCGTTTTTAATGTTCATCAAGGGTAAAGAAAACATAGAATTACTAATTATTTATTTTTTATTTTTAAAAAGTCCGTGTTTTTATCCAATAAGTTGGAAAGTTTATTACATTCACATGTCAATAATTTGAACGTCGACCTTGTTCCCTATTATACCGTTTTTCCCAAATAAGTGTATTTATTATTTTTAATATGCGTCAACATATGATTTTTCACTATTTTTTTACTATTTAGGAAATATCAATATTTAAAAAGCTGATTAGATTTGAGGTCATTAAAGGAAATTTGATTTAAATTCTGCAGAATTGTGTTGTAAATAATGCACCATAATTAGAATTTCATCTAATTTATAAATAAATTATCTTATTTGTAAATAAATCATCCTATTCAGAAATTAATTACTTATTTGAGCTAATTTGTCTTGTTGATCCCGAAATTCTAATTAATAATATTTTTTTTTTTGACCAATGACATTTACTTATTAGAGTTTTATACCAAATTAACAGTTATTACTTGAGGAATGGAAAGCCTCATTTAGAAAATAAGATTTTAAAATAATTGCTGTAATTCTTGTAATTCTGTAAATGAGGTCCTAATTATTGTAACTGTCATTTATGACGATTTTACGTGATATTCACATCTGTAATTCGTTCTTAATAGTACACTTTATTATTTATCGAGTCGATATATAAATTGAAAAGAAATAGATTCCGAGAAACCTCAAGGAATAACATCAAAATCTCTAATTATTATTTTAAGTAATGAAATTTGCTTAATTTAGATATCAAGAATATTATAACAGATAAATCTTTTCGAATGAATTATGAAAATGATTAAGATACAAAAAAATGGGTTGATAATAGACATAATTTTTTTTTATCAATCATAGATATTTAATTCAATAAAGTAAATAAACATATAAACATATTTTCAAATTATATATATAAAAAAAAAAAGAAAGAGAAAAATTAAAATGTATATAATATATAATTAAGATTTTAAAACACTAATCTATTGTGATGATTGTTGAATTATGATACGATCACCATCTTTTTGATGTTTAGAAGGATTTGGTGATTCCATTGATGAAGTTGATTTACGTTTTTTTTCATGATTTTGACTTGTATCCAAACTCCCATTAGTATCCCGTTCCAAGAGAAGTTGCTTGAGAAGTTTTTTCTGTAACGAAAATTCAAAAAAAAAAGGAAAAAAAAATTTATATATTTAATTTAATTATTATTATTTATGGTTTATTTTTCAAATCATATTTTTATCGTTTAATACCTCTATCTCAAGTTCAGTGACTTTAGTTTCTAAAAATTCACGTCGAGCGCGCGATTTTCGTTCATTAATAACTTCATTCTCCAATTCTCGAACTCGCTCTTCCAAATAGTTATTTCTTCCAATAAGCTGCATTTCTCTCTGTGAGGATGCTTTGTTATGAATAACGCGTCCATCTATATCCTGTTCATTTGACATCAAAGCTTCAGGTGGTCTACGTTGAGAATCTGGAACTTGTACGTTAAATTCCGATTGATTATGTGAATATTGCATTTGATAATGAGGAGCTGTTGCATTAGTAGATATTGATGCGGGAGTTTCCACTGGAAATACGAATTGGTGATGTGTAGAATTAGGAATAACGAGATTTTGAACTGGTTTAGCTAAAGATTGTGTATTGGGGGATGGAATTGACTGAATTTGTGCTGATTGTTGAGTTTGTAATGGTTGATGTTGCCATGCATGATATTGATCGTGTTGGATCATTTGTTGTCTTTTGTAAAAATCTTGAGATTGTTGTCGTGAGATATCGGTTTTCGCTTGGGAATTATTATTATTATTTGATAAATTTGTTGTTTGCTTGTTTTGCAAATCTTCTTGAGGTTTTTTGAATTGTTGTTGAGGTTGCACTATTTGTTGTGATGATGCATTTGCCTTCGGATCTGGTTGTTGATTTGGAGATTTGGTTGTAATATCACCTTGCGGCTGGGATTGGATAGACAGTAATTGTGGCTGTGGCGTAGTTTGTTGTGGCGATAGGTGAATGGGTGGCGGTTGTTGCTGTAGTTGTTGCTGCTGCTCTATCTTTGAGTCTGTGCTGTAAATTTTTTTTTGTGGTCCCCCACAAAAACTTTCTGCTCTTAAATGTCTATTTAAAGCATCTAATCTTGCAAAACTTCTTTTGCAATGCGGACATTGATATGGTTTTTCACCTGTATGTAACTTTTGGTGCCTTTTCAAATCATGATGCCTTCGAAAGAAGTGCTGACATATATCACATTGGAAAGGTTTTTCCTGTGAATGTGTTAGAGCGTGAGACTTGAGATTATGTTGACGGCTGAAAGTTTGGTTGCACACAGTGCATACAAAAGGTTTTGCTTTCGCAGCATTATTAGGACTATTGGGTTGTCCCGGAGTTGTCTTTTCCGGATTTACACTAAATTGGTTAAAGGAACCTAAAGTGTTAGAATCTATTGGTGTGGAGGGTGAAGAAAAGTTGACTGACTCAGGTGTGTAGTTTGCTGTTGTCGTCTTCAATACGTTCATATCATGAGAACCAGACGTTGAAGAAGTTTGAGTAGTAGTAGATAAATTATGCCCTTTTGGATCTGATATATTTTCTTTTTGAGGTGTTGAATGGGTTTGTTGCTTATTAGGTGTAATGTTTGAAATAGTTGGTTTACCATCGGTAGAAGTGTCAACGTGGGAAGGTGAGGTTTCTTCCAAATTAACTTCATTTTGTATACTGTCTTTAACGCCATGAATTTGAACGTTTGTTACTTTAACACTATCCATATTTTTAAATAGGGGGGGTGGGGGGTTGTGGAGGAATGTTGGGAAACTACAATTTTTGCAAAAAGTGTGGCTTGAAGAAGGCTATGTGTACAATGAGAAACGTTGGGAGGAAAAAAAATTGAGGATATTAGTATTTTTTTTGTAGGACCCAGCCAACTCAGGTGAGAAAAAAAAGGGGTTATCAACTATTTCAAAGTAGAAACACAAATATGGTAAAAACCTGTAATGACTGTATAACTAATACTGATACGAAGTAGGACAAGGATTAAAAATTCTATTTTTGGTTTCAAATAAACTTGTGTAATATGAGAAGCCTAGCACCAAAATGTCGTGGAAATGATTTTTGGCTAGTGGCTGTTTTTTATATATATATAAAAAAAATATTGGCAAACGAGTGGCGTTTTTAGTGCACCTTTTAAAATAAAAGCCACAATTTAAATACTAAATATGACTTATGATCATCGTCTCGACGTTAGAGATGCATAAAAATTATCCAATCACAAGTACCATGAATTACGAATTATCGAATAATCGTGTACGAACCGATTGATCACCAAACTATTTGTTGTACAATTTATCGTAATCAATAAAATCAATAACTAAATAAAATAATAATTAAATTTATCTATTTTTATCTATTTTAATCTATGTAACCCCTGTAAGAAAACCCCATGAAAAATATTATTAAATTCGAGATCGCCAAAATATCCGCTTTAATATGCATAATAAGCTACGTGATGAATCTATTTTATCTTCAACAATTACGCCTAAAATGTTCCAGGACATTTCGTGAAAATCTAGATCATCGCGAATTATTTCTTCTAGATGTGATTCATCCAAAGGGAAATTTGGCTGACTATTATCCCTCTCTTGATTATCCTTTAAAATTGCGGAAAGTCCTAAATAGGTGGCTGACGACACAATAGCAAACCGATATTTATCTCTAGTTTCATCATAAGAAATCTCAAACCTATATATATATATATATATTGTTTTTAACCAAGATATTTCTCATAAATAGCCTTGAAAAAAAAAATTTGAACAGATATAAATACCGCTCTTCATCGTTTTCTAAATATAAAACCTCATTTCGAAGTTTTTCTTTTATATGCTCGTCATTAGACATCAATGAAAGGTTATATTTAAGGCTATAAGGGAAAAAGATGTGATAAAATCTTAATATAATTGATCTTCATTTAAAGAAATTAAACATAAATTTGTTTACCAAGGGTCTCCGTCATTATTAAAAACAATTATAGACTCATCGCCTCGATCATATTCGGTTCCTTGAAATGCACGTTTTCGCATTTGATGAAACTTTCGAAGGCGTTCTTTTCTACCCTTACTGATAGATCGCCCAATGGCTTCACCATTCTGTGTCAAGAATTAAAAAATAAATATGGAAATTTTTTTATTGATAAAGAAATTAAAAAAAAAAAAAAAAAAAATACCTTCATTTCACAAACTTTTTCGATCTTATAACTGACGCCATGATGATTTCCCCACGACCGGCTTTGATATTGATTACGAACGGTCGCAGTATATTGAACTAATTTTGGTAAAACTCGAATTGTAACACATAAATCATGGTCAGGTGGATCAGATGACCATTTGGAGATTGGAGGAATAAAATATCCCGTATGAATAAGGACTTTTGAAAAAAAAAGAAATAGATTTTTTAGATTTGAATTTAATCAATTTAATCTAAATTTTTAATTAATTTAATTTTATTATTATGTTAAATTCATTTTAAGAAATATTTACCTGCCACTACGTCCGAATCATCGGTATATATATCAGTTCCCCATAAAAATCGGGATCTGACTTTTTTATTATTCCATGTTAAATGTTTGGATGAAACCCTAACTTCTAATATCCCATTTTCGTGGAATTCTAAAGGTGGAAGTATTTTGTTGGGATCATAGATCATGTGCCCTATTTATAGTTCACAAAATATTTATTAATATCAAAAGTATTGAATTGCAACCCTAGTTTTATATTACTAACCGAGATGATGTTCTTCGCGACCTTCCATGTTGAGAGAATCGTCATTCTTAACAATTAAGTGTGGCTCTCTTTGTAAATATAATCCTTCAAAAAGTGAACGATCCAAAGAAAACTCATCATCTTGATCATCTTCGTTAATCTCGTTTACTTCATTTTCCCCAACATTTTTATCAATTTTGCCTAAATTAATAATATTATCAACCAAAATATGATGAAGAGGTGAATGATGATGATGATGATTATTATTATTATTATAATCTAATGTATTGTTTAGATGATGATTTGACCCATTTCCAATATTCATCTCTTTGATATTCATATTAAGCCTTTTAATAAACGGATCATCCTCGTTATTTGAAAGAATTGAGGAAATAGACATAGATTTGGAAGGAGTAGAAGATAAAAAATGTGGATTTTGTGGAATTGGTGGTAAAGGACCTAAAGAATCAATATGAGGAAGTTCATGATGTTGTTGTTGTTGACCAGAAAGAGATCTAGGAGAAGATATTGGTAAAACTGGTGAATCTGTAGCAGAAATTGGAGGAAGGATAGGTAAGTTTCCTGAATTAGGTTCTATAGGTGGAATAGGTAATTGAAAAGATGGAAAAGAAGAAGAGGGAGTCGGTAAAGTAGCAGATATAGGAGGTAAAGTAAGTCTCATTCGTTTTGTTTGGTGGTCAGATATTGGGGGAGTTGTTTCAGATGAGTCATCTAATATTGGTCTTTTGTGCGAAGAAGAATGTAAACTGTCCATTTTAAAGTATTTAAATATTTTAAAATTTTTATTTTTTATTTTTAAAGGAAAGAAATTTTTTATTCAATTTAAAAAATAAGAAATTTCCATTTGGTAAACGGATGGATTAACTGGTATTAGAGAATTGAGGAATTGTCGCGCACGCGTGATGTTTACAATCTTTTAATATGAAATATATGAATAAATCTGCAGAATCCTGTTGTGTATAAGGGGGTGATAATCTTGTGCTTTGGTGTGTAAAAAAAAATTGTCCCAACATGACGTTTATGTTATTCAGAAACCATTTATCTTTTTTTTTTTTTTTTTTTTTTTTTTAAACTCGTTATTATATTATTAGTTTCAAACCCTCTTTATTCTTTTTTTTTTTTTTTTTAAAAAAAAAAAAACCTTAAAAGGTGGTTGCATTTTATAGCGTTTTATAGTCTTTTTTTTTTTTTGTTAATAAAAAATATTTTCTATTATATCTAATAGTAAAAGGTGGCTCTGAGTAGAATATTAGTTACTTTAACATTTATACATTTATAGTTCACCCTAAAATTTAGATTGTGCTTAATAATATAACTGTTTTTAACTCCTCTATATAATATATTGAGTAGAGACTCAAAAAGAGGTTAAGAGCTAGTTTGCTATTTTGTAATCCTATAATGAAAAAAGTCAACCCTCCAAATTTTAAAGTGGACACTAACATCACTTCTGAAGGTTGTTATCAATCATCATCCCCTTCAACTCCAATGTCTGCTTCTACTCCTCTTATTTCAACCAAACAGACTTCAATGGCATCTTCTTCAAAAGAACCCTCATTTAGATTACCTACTGTTGCTACCATTTCTCTAGCTCCGACCACAACCACCACTGTAGTTACGACAACCACTACAACCACTACTTCCTTTCCCCCTTTGTTATTGAAGCCTCCACCTTTGCCTAAACAGTTAGATCCAAAAGAATATCCATTGGCTGACACTCCAACTCCACCAGCCTTGAAACGTTTTTGTTTTGATTTAAACGGACAACCAGCTTATATTCGTGAAGATGAAGATTCTGAACAACAAATGGTCAAGGTACTTGTGATTTACCTTTTTTTTTTTAATAATAAATAATGATAATTATAATATAATTAAACTATATTGTCACTTTATATTTATTATTTTGTGTAACAAATTATTAATTTATATTAATTATAATTTATATTAGCTTCGAGAGGCCTTATATAATATGCGAGCTTCCGGACCTACTCCATCAAAAACTGTTAAGACTAGTGTAACTTCTACCCAGACATTCAATGAAAATTTTTCAGAGATCAAACCTTCGGGAAGTGGAGCTCGTAAAAGATCAGCTTCTTCCGATGAACTTGCTTTCGATTTTTCTACTGCCGGTCAGCAACAATCAACTGGTATTGGCAGCAAAACTTCCCGCGCTCGTAGCTCAACATCTCCTCCACATAAGAAGGTTCGTGCAAAACCTGCTAGTACCATGTTGGAAAATGATAGTGAGCTGGACTCTCAAAAACAATGGATGGAATTAACCACTAATTCGGGAATTTCAATACCGAGGACTAACACTCCTTTAAGTAATGTTCAAGGTGAATCAACAACACCAAATATTTCTCTTCATCATCAACAAAATTCCTCTTCTTCTTCTAGGCATATAAATACTATTACAACCTCAAATCTGGGAATTGACACTCCATCAACTACACGAAGTACTCATTCCTCCGCTCTTCCTTCACCTTCCCTTTCCCCAATTACTGGAACTACTTCTTCAATCAATACTAATCAATTTGAAAACTTTTTCGCGGGTCATCCCGTTCAAGATGATGATGCAGATGTGGATGATGTTACTGTTGATGAATCTTTGTCCGAAAACAATCAGGAAAATTGGAACTTGAAACAATTAGATGAATCTCATGTTCCTAGTTTGTGGGATTTGAATACCATGCTTGCTACATTTGATGCATTACCTTCTTCAATGAAATCATACATGCTTTTTCAGTTGCTTCGGCGTTGTCCTACTCACACCCTTCAATATGTTAGTAACATTATTTTACCGGCTTTAAGAAAAGATTTCCTCGGTATGCTTCCTCTTGAATTAAGTTTACACATAGTGAAATATTTAGATATAAATAGTATGTGTAAAGCTGCTCAAGTAAACAAAAGATGGAGAAATGTTATAGATGGTGATAGGATGGTATGGACACGACGTCTTGAGATGGATGGATTCGGAACCGACGAAAACGAAGAATTCCGAGCTATTGAAGAAAATTGGGGATTTTTTCGTCCAATTACGCGTCGTAAAAATCGTCAATCAGATGGTGTTAATGAAAGTGGTGCATCTTCTTCCGAGGAAAGGACAATTGTAGAAATTGATGATGACGCTAATACTGATAATAATATGAAAGTAATTTCAGATGATAATGATAATATGAGAGTTTCAGATGATAACGTTAAATTAGAATGCTCGTCTGGTTCATCATCGAGAGCGATTCCATATCAAATTGGTCACAATGATAATACTATGGCGGTAGATAATGATAATAGTTCACCTCAAAAAAGTCAATCTATAAGTATTGATGAAAATAATGGTAATACTGTACAACAAGGTTCTTTTAAGCTTTCACCAACGGGTACGGACGAACCTGCTGGCGGAAGTTCATCATCATTATCATTTGTTAAGGGATTCTCAACGATACAACAAAATCAAAATAAAGGTAAAGCCCGAGCAGACGACGAATGGGCCAAGTTTAGAACAGAAGAAAATCATCAAGACGATGATCGGCCTTATGATGGTGATGACAGTGATGTTGACGCCATGTCTCAGGGAAGTAGTGACCGAGCGGAACTATCTGAAGACCGACTTCCACTTACATCATCTGCAACTCATCCATATAAAGCAATATATCGTCGACATTTCCTTATGAGACAGAATTGGGTTCATGGTCGACACAAACATATCTCTTTTCCAGGACATGTAAACAATGTTGTCACGTGTCTTCAATTCGATTCCGAAAAAATAATTTCTGGATCAGATGATCAATGTATTAATGTATATGAAACTTCTACTGGACGATTAATAAATAGATTGGAGGGACATGATGGTGGCGTTTGGGCATTACAATATGTTGACAAAACCTTAGTTTCCGGTTCTACAGATCGAACAGTACGAGTTTGGGATCTTGAAAGAGGGATATGTACACACGTATTTCCAGGTCATACAAGCACTGTACGTTGCCTTCAAATCATCATGCCAAAAAATACAAATCCAAATCCTAATGAACCCCCTGTTATAGAACCACCAATTCCTTTAATTGTTACAGGTTCAAGAGATTCCACACTAAAAGTGTGGAATTTACCGAATCTTAAAACCGATTCTCAATATCAACCAACAATCCCTTCATCACCATCCGATAATAACCAATATCCAGAAAATCCATATTTACGTCACACGCTTGTAGGTCATACACATTCTGTTCGTGCCTTGGCGGGAGTGGGTAATACCCTAGTAAGTGGTAGTTATGATTGTACGGTAAGAGTTTGGAATATATGGACTGGAGAATGCCTTTGGCGTTTAATAGGACATACACAAAAGGTTTATTCGGTTGTTCTAGATGCAAAACGTAAAAGATGTATGAGTGGAAGTATGGATGGTACAGTAAAAGTTTGGAGTTTAGAGGATGGAACGATTGTATGGACGTTAGAAGGTAATATATAAATTATTTAAACATACTTACTTTCGTTTAAACATTTCCAAGTACTAAAAAATAATAAATATACATATATTATATAATATATTTATAGGCCATTCATCCCTCGTTGGTCTTCTCGATCTTTCGCACGATTATCTTGTATCTGCAGCAGCAGACTCTAGCCTCAGAATTTGGAACCCAGATGATGGTACCTGTAAACATGTGTTGACGACCCATTCTGGTGCCATTACATGTTTTCAACATGATGAAAATAAAGTAATATCGGGGTCGGATGGAACACTTCGTATGTGGGATGTCAAAACAGGACGTCAACTACGTGATCTACTTACTGGCTTAAGTGGAGTCTGGTAATTATTTATTAATTAATGAATTATATTGTGAAATTGAATAATTTATTTAAAAATAAACATTTTTAATTAATTAACATTTATTTTATTAGGCAAGTAAGATTTGATGAACGTAGATGTGTAGCAGCAGTACAACGAAATTCAATGACATGGTTTGAAGTTCTAGACTTTGGAGTGTACGGTATAGAGAATGATGATGGATCAGGAGGAAGTTGTACTGACGAAAATGGCAATTGGGTTGATAGAAGGATAACTGTTGGTAATGGGAGCGATGATTGAACAAATTTTACGAATTTTGCATTATTTTATTTGAAAATCTTTTCTCTGTAATTTGTTTTTATTTTTTTATCTTATGGACATTGATATTAATATTACTCCTCAATTTAAAGTTTTGTACATCAAACATATAAACTAGATTTTTTTTTCAGTAATATTTTAGCTGATTTATGATATCATTCAACTAAATTTGTTTTATACTCTTAATACTTTCCTTTATTTCCTTTATTTCCTTTAATTATCAATTGTTTTGATATTGTTAAGTTTTTTTTTTTTTTGGAAAAAAAAAAAATATTATATAGATTAAAATACACAACCTTCTAAAGACACTATGCATAATTAATACAATCTAGATAGTAGTTTTTCCTCAGTGATGGCTATTATTTATATGGTATGAAGTTAAATTAGTTAAATTATAACTTCACGCGACCAGATAATGGAATTTACAAATCACGTGGGGCATAAAAAAATACATGAAAAGAAAGAGAGAAACATAACTCCGAACCTCCCCTTTTTTTTTACTATTTTTTCACACAAAATAATTATTAGAAAATGTAATGTCATTACATTATTTGACATTTTACAGGTCATAAATCAAACAAATTATGTATGCATATTAAATAATCATCATGAAAAAAAAAAATATAGTAAAATAGAATTAAAAATTAGTGTAATGTACAATTATATTAAAAAAAAAACTCAATAAATAATTTAATTTGTAAAATACATAATATATATAGCGTAGTATAATATATATAGAATAGTATAATATAGTATATATATATATATAGTACAGATATAAATGTTACTCATGTATAAACAAATTTTTTGAGTTTAAATGCACACTATGAGACTTGATTTTTTCAAGAAATTGTTGAGATTCTGACACCAAAATGTAATATTTATCAGAATGATAAGAATCTTTCTCAATTTGAAAGACCAATCCTGGAAATTTTGAATTTAAGTAATTAATAAGATCAGTTTTAAATTTTACTAGAAGATGATAACCACAGTATTTAAAGGGAAGAAGAACGTTTTTTATACGATCAAGCTTGTGGGAAACTTCTCCATATTCCGTAAATAGGATTTTGAACTGTAGCGCAGCTTCTGACACCCAAATGGGTATAGCTTCCTCCAAAGCTTCGATAAAGTCATCTAAAGTGTTTGCCTCACCACTTGCTAAATCCACGGTACATGTCTGAATATGATCTTGCCAAGGCACACCAAAGTATTCAAATTCAGCAATCAATTCTTGACGAGAAACGTGAATATCTTTTTTTAGATCCGCACGTGGCCATATGACGCGATTATTACGGTATAATTCAAGAACATAATAAAAAGCTCTACCATTGCGATCAAAGAAATATTCATTTTGATCTGTACATTTTAACATGTCTTGGTTTCGCTCACTGAACATGTTTGCTAACATGGTGTCAGGTTGGGAAGTCAATGTTGAACGAGTTGTTGTATACTATTACGAATTAAATAATTTAGTTGGAAAACTTATTTAGTTAATTCTTTTAAAGCAGCAATTAGGTTTTACCTTAATGCCACCAACATTAAGTACTATTTGCTCATCTGAATCTTTAGGCATCCTTTCCGAAGAACTTAAAGAATTTTTCTTTCCCCCGACAACATTTACCATCTAAAAAAAAAGATACATTACATTAGTCTAACCATATTTGGTGGTGATAATAATTAACATTACAATTAATTATTAGTAAGCTTTTTGAGTAAACAAAGTTGTTACCCATAATGTCTTTATATAAAATTACATAATGGATGGTGCCATTAAAAAAAAAAAATATAATAATAATCTAGACAAAAGTAGCATGGTCACCTCAAAAATATGATATAAACCAATAATAAACGAGAGTATTTATTAACATAACCTTTATTTTCATCACCGGGACTAGGTGGAATATCAAGAGGTAAATGGTGAAGGTGATGGTGAGGAAGTAAACTCGCTTGGTTGTTCACATTAGAAGGATTAAAATGTGAGAAATGATATGATAACCGATTTAATATGGGATCCGCATTAGCATCAGTTGATTAAAGAGAAAAATTATTTATTTGGACTTTGAATAATTTTTTAATAGGTGGAATGTATTTGTGACGCTAATTTAAGAGAAAAAGTGTGATGTTAATTTAAGAGTTAGAATGTATTCAAGAATGATGGAAACTAGACACTTACTGTATATAAGCGAGGTAAATCAATTTTGGAAAGGTAAAATTAAGATATTGTTATTATTATTTATTAATAATATTATATAATATATTATTTATTTATTAATAATATTATATAATATATTAATTGTTGACCAATTGTCAGCATTCATCTTATTAAATGAACAGTTATTAAGAATAGCAGAGTAATAATGATAATGATGATGATGAAAGTAATGAAAGTAATGAAATACTTAATGATGATAAAACTGAAGAAATGCATTTATCTAACAATAAAATATTAGATACATTAGAAAGCAATAAATCTAATATAATTCATTGTACATGCAATTCAAATTGGATGGATATAACTGAAATCCTTTATATTTTATAGTATTGTTCATCCTGCTGATGATCAGTTTGCTAAATGGGATCTTGTAATATTTTTAATGATAATTGGAAACACCTTATTTTGTAAATGAATCAATATTATGAAATAAATAAAAATTTAATAGTTTAATAATAATTTTTATATCTTGATATTGCTATTACTATTCAAATCAAACAATAAAAATTTATGTTGAAAAAAATAATAATAATAATTTTCATAACATCTTAAACCTAAAAATTCTTTTTTTTAAAGCTAAATAATGTTTTAAAGTTTCAAAAATTTTTATTTCTGCGCCACTCCTAAAAGTGTTATTCTCAAATTATTATTTAGAAAAGGATTTTCAATTAGTTCTATCATTCATATATGAACTATTATCATCATAAAAAAAATATAGTAAAATAGAATTAAAAATTAATGTACAATTATATTAAAAAGTTACTCATGTATAAAAAATTCTTTAAGTTTAAATGCACAGACTTTTTCGAGATTCTGATACCAAAATATAATATTCATAAGAATGATAAGAATCTTTCTCAATTTGAAAGACCAATCCTGGGAATTTTTGAATTTTAAGTAATTAATAAGATCAGTCTTAAACTTTACTAGATGATAACCACGTTTTTTATACGATCAAAGCGTGAGAGAAACTTCTTAGTATTCCGTAAATTTGGTTTTGAACACCAAAAATGGGTATAGCTTTTTTCCAAAGCTTCAATAAAATCATCTAAAGTGTTTGCCTCACCACTTGATAAATGTTTGAATATGATCTTGCCAAGGCACTAAGACGAGAAACATGAATAGTTTTTTCAGATCCGCACGTGGCTATGACGCGATCAAAGAAAGATTCGTTTTGATTTTGTACTTTTTAGCATGTCTTGGTTTCGCTCACCGAATATGGTGTCAGTTGTTGTATACTATTACGAATTAAACAATTTAGTTAGAGTAGTTAAAGTTAGACTTTGGAAAATCTATTTAGTTAATTCTTTTAAAGCAGCAGTTAGTTTATACCTTAATGCCACCAACATTAAGTACTATGCGTCATCTGAATTTTTAGGCATCTTTTCCAAAGAACTTAAAGAATTTTCTTTGACCGACTATCAAAAAGATAAGATAGAATACATTACATTTAATCTAGCCATATAATACAATTAGAATGGTACTATCCATTATGTAATTTTTTAATTGTATTAAATAAATGATAATAAATAATCTAGACAAAAGTAGCACGGTTATCTCACAATAATGTTGGAATAGTGACGGAGTTGGTGACCTTTCATTCTATCCATTAGAAACATCAAAAATAGGAGAATGATAACCAAAGAGGAAAAATATCTATGAATAATTTATTAATAGATGGATGCTAATTTAAGAGTGATTGTATTTTTATGGTTAGTTGGTTATTACTCTATTTACTTCATTTATCTTATTATTATCTCTTATTTTTGTTTTATTATTTATAGTTAAATAGTTTTAATTATTCTACTAAGGTAGTTAATTTTTGGTATTTTATAAATAAGTTGTTGTACCAAAGTGATAACAGTACAGTATCATCAGAAATGATGAAGTTCCATCTGATAACGTTATCAAAGCAATTGACCAAACATCAATTTGAAGACAAGGCCTCATATTCTGGAAGAGAAGTGAATCTTAATATCAATGAAAAATATTTGTGCATATACAATCGATATTTTATATCACGTATGTGACATCTAAGAAAATAGATTGTTATTGGCCATTATCCACATGATATTATAAGAAACAAAAAATAATTCATAGTACATATGTACATATATGTACATTTATCTACATATTTATTCTTATAAAATCTATAATTATAATATAAAACTAAATAATAAATGCTGTCTCGTATTTCATATATTTCTACGTATTATTTATATAAATTAAGGCGATTCCAACTGATTCGAAAACCAATCTATTCATGTTCTTTGATCTATTTTTTTCATAACGTTCGATTTATGTGACAAAATCGATTAATATGTATGGCATTTAGCCTTTTGCAAATATGCTTATAAGCAAAATAATGTTTGTTTCAAAAATTCTGACTTGTTTTTATAAATATTTATAGTATAAATAATTAAAAGTAACCAATCAGGATTTTTTTTTTGTTTTAATAAAAAGTAAAAAACAGACTATACTACATAATGAAATGCTTTTTTTTAATCATCCACTGTTTAAAAGAACAATGAGACAAATAATTATTGCTAAGGCAGACAGGTCAACACCATAAACAATTACTAAAAAAAAGAAAAATATTTGACAAAAAAGTTCGAAAAAATATTAAATTTTATATATTACAAGTTTTTTTTTTTAAAGAAAAATTAAAATATGTAAAGTCCAGCAATATTGCCTAACATTTCTTCAATTATTTTCTTTAAGATCTACGATTGATGGTTTTTTCATTGAACTATTTCCACTTCCACCACAAACAGTACTACTAGCACTACTATTGTTATTTCCAGAAGACAAAACGTCCCTGTTGACGTCACCTAAAAATGATACTCCCTTGTACACAAAAGCATCGAATTCCGTATCTCCCGAATTTGTTTGGACATTTTTCTGATCCAAATCGTGCATAGTTGGTGATCCTACAAGAGTTGAACGCCTTGATGGGTTAAAAGATGGGGATGCCAAATTAGACGTCGATATGATTGTTGCTGATGTAGTGGGTGTTCCGGAAGCTGATGATGCTAAAGAGCCACCATCATAAATGCCACTTATAGATTGTTTTCTGGATTTACTCGCCGTTAATTTCAAAAGTGATGGTCTACGCTTTTGAGTTGGTTTAGTTGGCATTTGTGATTCTTCGGTGGGTGGAGGTTTAAGTGTGGAAGATGAAACTGACTTGAGAGAGGATTGACGTCGTTCACGGAGATGAGTGTTTATTGTCAAATCAGGTTTATTACGGGAAGAAGGTGATGTAGGTGAATTTGGGGAAATAAACTCTATTGGTTCCGCAGTGACAGCCGACAATAATAAAGGTGGTGGAATATTTTCACTAGATATTTGTAAAATATCATCATCATCAAAGATTCCTGATTTACGATCTCCCACTTTTCCAATTGCAATATCATCCATGTTACCAGCAGAAAGTCGACGAATATCTGCACGATTGTTACGGGCTTCAAAATAGCTCGTATCTTGTTCGTCTTCGGGATTAGGCACAAAAGGTGCTTTCTGTTGACGAATATTTTCCCAAACAATCCCATTAAAGAAAGGATGGGTTTTAACTTCTTCAACTGTTGGTCTTTTATCAGGAGTTTGATTTAGTAATTTTGAAATTAGATCTTTTGCTTCTGGAGATAAAAATCCTTCAGGGGGCCATTGGATATCATGATTTAAAATGTTTCTAAAGATTGATTGGGGCGTGTCATCATTGAAAGGTGGATACCCTAATAAAAATTCGAATAAGCATACACCAAGAGACCACCAATCAACCGCCGTTGAGTGACCAATACCAAGAAGCAACTCAGGTGCAAGGTAATCTGGAGTTCCCAATAGAGCCTTTGAACTTTGACGATTTTGCCTCTTAAACGCCTTTGAAGATTGTTGAAACGTTGAATTAGTTGTATTCGAATCCAAACCATAGAAATTAACATGACTGTTTCGCTTAGAGTTTTCATTAGAAAAAATTGCAGATGCCGGGCGTTGATGGACAACGCTGTTACGTGATTCCGGATTTGCAACTCTTTTTGAAAACTTTTTTTTATCAGCTTCATCATTCGATTTTCCCAAATATGTCATACTTTTTTCGGGAATTGAAATCCTCGATAATCCAAAGTCAGTGAGTTTTATATGCCCTTCGGAGGTAATTAACATATTATCAGGTTTTAAATCACGATGCGTGATTCCATTGTTATGCAAATATTCAAGAGCCAATACTACTTCGGCTGTATACATACGTGCCATGTCTTCATCAAAACGTTCAAAACATTGCAACAAAGATGATAAATCACCTCCTATTAAATATTCCATGACCTTATTGAAAATTTTATATTTAGAGATCTTCATGAGAGAATGAAAATTAAAAACATTTTTGAATACTTACTAGATATAAATAGTCTTGGCTTTGAAACGCGTAAAATAGTTTAACTACAAAAGGGGTTCTTGATAGACTAAGAACTCTTCGTTCTGCAAGAACATGATTTACCATGTTCTTCCGCACCATGTCAACCTTTTTTAAAATTTTAATAGCGTAAAGATCCCTCGTTGTCTTTTTTCTTGCAAGATATACTTTTCCAAAAGCACCTCTACTAATAGGCTTAATGATTTCAAAGTCCTGTATACTGGGTATTTTTGTCTTTGAACCCTGACGTAATAATAATGATAAATAATAATAATATGTTATTTTAATAATTTTTATAAAATTAAATAAATAAAATAAAATAAAATAAAAAAAAAAATTATTACTTTATCTTCGTTATTAATCGACCTGTTACCAGAATTACTAGCATCCTTATTTGAGTTGCTACCAGCACGACCATTTCCTCCTCGTAAGACAGCGGCAAAAAGTGAAATTAATTTCTTACCACGAGGAGGAGCTGGTGGGGCATTATCAGAATCTGAAAAATTAATTTTAATATGTTGATTAGAAAGGATTAAAATTTGCATTAACAATAAAATTATAAAAATTGCAATCGTACCAATTTCGTAAGGCGCCTTACCGTATGATATTGAGCCGTTGCTGTCTTGACGCTTGTGCGATGACATATCCTTATGACCACGATGACGATGACGATGATAACTAGGTTGTTTTGATAATAAGTTGGTCGAAGCTTTACTTGACGCTGAAGTTGATAGCATTCGACTTGATATCGATTGCTTCCGACCAATCTTTTGTGGTATCTGCAAAGCTGAAGTTTCCATTACAGCTGATGATGCAGCCATAGAAACAGCAGCAACAGCAGCAGCGGTGGCAGTTGTTAAGCCTGTATTAGAAATTGCATTTGTTGATCGTAATTTCTGGAAATACGAACGAAGTGCTTCATGCTTTTCTCGAACCTATCATTTTAAAATATATTTACAATTCAGAAAAGTTCTATTAATTATAAAAATATAACAAAAAGTAAAGGTAAACATACTACGTGAAGCAAACGTTTGCCATAAATCAATATATTTTCATCTTTTGTTGAATTCTTTTCCATTTCCTCAACCAATCGCCCTAACTTTGTAGAATACTTTTCACATTTTCTTAAAGCTTCACGACGATTTGATGTTTCTTTAATATTAGCGGCTCTAGTAAAAATAAATTTGTAATGAAAATGAATTTTCCATATTCTATTTACAAAAATGGCACTAATATAAAAATTAAGTGTTAATTACTTTCGACCAATTGATTGCATAAGTTCAGCATCTTTTAAATTGAAATAATCGAGATTCTGTATGTTTGACAAATATATGGATTAAAATTAAAAACAAATCAACATTAAATTCTTTAGTAAATTGAATATCACCAAATTTGTCAATAATACATACCAAATTTTCTGTTTTTTTCTTTTCGACATCTCCCACTAATTTACGGAGTCTACCATCACATTCTTCTAATTTTATTGCATATTCTGTAGTTATTGCGCAAGTTTCGGAGTGTGCGTCCAACTCATGACTTGGAATCATCTCTTCACAAATACGGCACAGTATAAAATCATGAGGGATTGGAAAACCAGAGGTCGGAACAGCATTATTAAAATTAATATTAGTTGTATTATTATTTTCACCTTTTAATGACATTGATGAGCTTTGACGAGACAATGAAAATGCGTGTGAATCAAAAGAGAGCGAACGAGACTTTTCTGGTTGAGGAGGACGAGGTAAATGTATATTACGTATGGGACTTGGTTGAATTATTGAAAGCGTCGGGGATCCGGTAGGTGAAACACTGGTTGAAGATGTAGGACTATGGAACGCATTCTTCAATGATTTGAAAAAGTTCATCACTGGTCTCGACTTTTATAAAATAACATTAAGATAATATTTTGATAGTTAATGCATATATAATATTTATATATAATATTTATATAGTATTAAATTCTAATTTTTACCTTCTTTACTTTTTTCTTATTGTCAGGATCATCCTCACGTTGTTTTTTCATAATACTTAAATCTATATCTCTGTTCATCTCTTCGTGAAGCATTTGATCTACCTGCCTCCTTGTAAGACTATTCCATGTAGGAAGATTATCATCCATACTTGGACGAGAAGGGGGCACATACATTATCGGACTTTCAAAAACGGCTTCATTCGCAGAAGCACGTCTTTGTTCAAGTGAAGCCCTAAATGAAGGATGGTACATGATAGGAGGAGTAGTGACATGTTGGGCTAATGGGGATGAAACCGTCGCTTGTGCTTTATTATCAAAATTTTCAGCTGCAGACTTACGACGTTCTTGCAAATGATGCGAAGGAAAATTTGGTGGAGATGAAGAATATAAAGGAGGTGTCAAGGGAAGTGATGGCGATGGTAAAGGGGAAATTGACCATTCTGAGCTTGTGGTCGGCGTATCATCTTTTGCGCCACTTTCACCTGAATCTGGGGTTGTTTCAGTAAACGATTGATTCTGAATAATATAATATATGATAAAAGGAAAAAAGGCTCCATATAAATAAATAAATATAAATATGTATACAAGAATAAATAAGATTCATATAATTTGAAAATTTACTTACAACTGCCTCGACAGCTCTTGTCACATCAGCAAAAACATAAACTAGTTTTGTTAATAATTCTTCTGCATCGGCATTTCCCACAGCCATCTTTCTTTGGGATTCCATAAGTTCTTGGAGTTCTTTCATTATTTCAACAGCAACGTTAAAATGTAATAAATCGTAGACAGCCGTTTTGATAATACGTCGTGCAATACGATCAATACGTGTCAACAGAAGTGTATGTGATGATGCTTAAAAATAGTATAAAATCAGTACAAATTAAAATAATACGCGATTAGATCTTTAATCATAATTAAATTTATAACCTTTATGCGTCACTTTTTTTTCATTTTGTTACGCCCTACTTCACATGAAAATTACCCGAAAATATATATATATTATTATAGTGATAAATAAATATTGGAAATAAAATGTTAACTTACTTAATCTTGAAGATGGCCAACTATTTGAATGTATTAATCTTCTTTCTGGTTTTTTCCTTCGTTGAGATTTCTTATTTGCACATAATGACACTGAATCTATATTTTTAGTAAATTTATCTTTAAATGTATTATTATTATTATTATTATAATTATTATTATTATTAACATTCTTTTTATTTATAATATTCCCATTCAATGAATTGTTTGGTTGAAAAGCTTCATCGTCAGTATCACTTATTAAAGGATTAGTCCCAACTTTATTCATAGTTTTCGATCTCTTTTTAATATTAATTGGTGCTTGCTTATCATCGTCATCACTCCAACCATCATATAAAAGATCAGTTAAAAGTTCTTGATATTGATGAGATTGATACCAATTTTCCAAAATATTCATAATTTTTCGATCAGCTTTACATTTTGTTTCTTCGAGATCTTTTAAAAGTTTTCGTTTGACTTTTGGAAAAGTAAAATCTGGTGAACCTTCATCAATTATATGTAAATCATTTAAATGATTTTCTTCAGCATCAACAGATAAATCGGGAAAAAATCTTTTGGTAGGGGATCTTTGAAAGGAAGGTCTACGTTTTACGGAAGAGGAAAGAGTAAAGGACGAAGGTTGTTCATCATTTGTTGCATAAGCATCTGAGTCTGTTTCTAATGAGTCTGTTTCGGAATCTGAATAGAGGGATGTATTTGTTGGATAATTATCCGATTTCATACATAATAATCGTTTAAGTTGTGAACTAGCACCGCTTGGTCGACGTTGATTTGTTGGTTGAGGAAATTTTTGTTGATGTATTGATGATTGTAAAAAGTCTGGTGATTGAGGAGGAACTTTCTTTGAAGTTTGTGAGACTTGAATATCTTCAAGTTGTTGTAAAGGAGGAATTACTGATTGATTACTAGATTTACCCGAAAGTACAAATAACGAATGATGTCTTTCTCTTTGATAAAAAGGTAAAGGGGTAAAGTAAGGTGAGCTCAAAGAACTACTACTCGAAGTTGAACCAGAGTTTGTACCAGTAAAAGGAGTTCCAGGGGATGAAAAGTCGAACTCTTCGAAAGACGACCTATTACTAGTATCACTCTCGTTGGCCGGGAATAAGTTTGAAGAGTATAGATTTGACTGTGTTTTTGGTTTTATTGATAAACTTCTCTTGAGTAAACTTTGACTCGATGAAGAAGTTGAATGACTTCTACGAGTTCTCCTCATTTTTGCAAAATTATCCTCCATGCCAGAAGCAGTTTGAGCGGTGGGAACAGTCAAAGTTGAAGTTGGGGTTTGAAATGTTATGGGGGTGGTAGATAAAGAGGTTGGTAGACTATTTGGAGCAATATGCTCACCAGGTAGTGAACGCGAAATAAAAGGTCTCCGGGTTTCTTCGTGCATATTATTTTATTATTAAAATGTACAATATCTTCTTGTATCTTACAATGACAAGAAAAGAAAAGTCTATATAATATGAGAGTTCTCGAAGGGAAGTCTTTGAGAGTAGAAGAAAAAAGGGCCTGAGTTTTGTGACAGCAGGGTGTATCAAAGTTTTATAGGGATTAAAAAAAACTATTAAAATAGGTGGCTGAGAATCTAAACTTTAGGGGGTGTGTTATAAGGATCCAAAAAAGGGGGGTCACAGACGATTAAAACTTTTTTTTGGTAGTGGCTATTGTTTAACAACTTTGAGTGGTGCACTAAAAAAAAAAAAAAAAAAAAAAAAAAAAAATTATATATAATTATATATTTAACAGTAAGTGAAATCTTTAAAGATTTTCAAGGCAGTACTAGTTGTACTATTGGGTGCATGAAAGTTATAGCATGTATACTCAATCTGCACCTTATGTCCAATTAATCTTGACATGGAATCGAAGAGAGGGTGAAATTTAGAAAATTAGGAAATTCACATGTCGATCATTTATGCCTAGACTGGAGAAAATTAAAATCAAATAGATTACAGTTTAAATTTAGCAACAGACCTGATAAGTTATGAATTTATGAGTTGAAAATAAAATTACAGGTAAATTGCAAGTTATTACAAGTAATCACATATCTCGGACGTAGTTGAAAAAAAAAAAAATAGGGTTAAAACTAGTGTAATAGGTAAAGACGACCAGAAATCTCACTTAAATAACTTAAATAAGGAGATTAAATATATTTTTAAAAAATAAAATAAATCTCCTATTTTTGAATCTATTAACTTAAAATTGACAATTATATATTAACAAATTCACCGATAAATTTTAATAATTCTTAATTCAACCTGGTATGCATTGATAATAAAAAAAAAAAAACAAAATTTTAAAGATTTGTTCCATGATCTTCACATTTATCAGTTTATCAGGATGACCTTTAAATTCAAGTATTGAATCATCATAACTGGAAACTGTATTGGATAAGTATATATATATATATTATTTTTTTTATTCTCCATGTAACTAAACTAAATAAATCATTATTTATTTAATTATTTTTATTTTATTTTATTTTTTAAAAAAATACTTCCCATTATATCCATTATATACAAGTAATATTTGCATTCAAATGTTAAAAGAACTGCAATATTTTGTATTTTACTAATGCGACAACCATTAAGTAATTTACCTAAAACTAAAAGAAATAAATTTATAAAAAAAAGGGAAAAGATAGAAGTTCCGTTTTCTTCTCTTTGTATATTTCAACAGCAGTAATTCAACGAAGCCATTTGACATATCCCTAATAATAATAATAATATTATTATTATAAAAATAAATTAATTAAAGATATTATTAATAAATAAAAATAAATAAATAAAATAAATAAATTAATAAATAAAATTAATTAAAATCAAATGTCATACCTTCATTAGTACTTCTCGACTTCCACCAGCTTGGCCTCCTCCACCACGATCTCTTTCAAGCACAAAAAGCGCATCTTTCACTGTAACTGTAGGTGTAGCCTCATTATTTAATCCAATAGTTTTATCTGGTGTCTGAAATGAAAACGTGGACTGAGCATTACCTTCCTCTTGTTTTATGGTGATATTCGATGAGGAACGTGTGCGCCCACGTGATGGCCGATTGCTAGATGATGATGATATACCACCATTCATTGTGGTAGGAATTGAAATATCTTTTGGTGGTAACATCCAACTTTTAGTTAAACCTCCTGCGGCTACCAAGGCTGTTTGGTTGGTACTCATTGAGATAGAATCAATAGTACTTTTATTTATTTGAGAAGCACTTGTGGTTTCTTTTTCCTTCTTTTGACGTTTAGGACGTCTGGATTGAGTTGTTTGCGTTTCGGTCATTTCTCTAACATCTTCCATTTTTTCATCATCTAAATTGGAATCTTGTAGTGGTCCTACCAATAATTCACGCCTTTTACGTTCTTGTTCCCTTTCAACCTTTTCTATTGCCGCTAATTGTGATTTAACATCTAAACTAATTACCTCTTTATACATAGGAAGTTTACCATCACTGACGGGTGGAAGATTTATATGTTCTGAATGTATTCGATGATTCTTAGCAATTATCATTGCTTCCACTAACTCTCTAATTCTTTCTTGTGTAGCAAGTGCCAAGTAAGCTAATGCTTCAGGATGAACATTTAATATTTTATGTTGTAATGCTTTTTTTTTTATTACATAATAATTAATCACATAATAATTAGTTACAGAATTATTATTAATTAATTTTATCGATATTCCAAAGAAAGGTTATAATTATTATAATTATCTTACCTATAGATTGTACCTTTGCAATCAATGTTTTCTGATTTAAGAAATTTTGATTCCGTGAGCGGTCAGGTTGATATTGTGTTGAAAAGGAGGATTGACGCGCCGTCAATAATTCATTTTCTCTTCGTATATTATTTTCTTCCGCCTATTTTTTTTTTTTTTTAATTAAATATTTATATTAACTACAATACTAACTATAAATATTATTATTATTATTATTATTATTATTATAATTATTATTATTATTATTATTATTATAATTATTATTATTATTATTATTCTTATTATTATTATTATTATTATTATAATTATTAAGATATATATATATTTTTTTTGAAATGAATTTTTCAGGAATTGAGTTCACAGATATACCTTTAAGTCAACACCAGAATAGACTAAAATATCATTTTCATAGCTCGTTTTATCAGTTCTCTCATCAGAGAGTAGCATAGTTGATGCAGGTGTTGTGGCCCTTCTACTTAAGTTTTTTTTTTTTTTTTGAGATATGATTATTTATTTAAAATTAATTGTGAACAAATACATTGTATTATCTATATAGTAATTATTTAGGCTTGACTAGAAGTTAACCTTAGTATAGAATTAGAATTTCCGTTTTGCAAAATCCCTAATAACAATAATAATAATAATAATAATATTTTAATAAGAATAGAATCGATGAGGTGAAATTTCATTGGTTTAATTCAACCAAAAGGGTTTTTTTATGGGAGTTAACATACCTTTTGCAAATTCACCATTAGTACGCGGTATTTCCATCCTTTGTACAGGAGAACCATATATTGCAGAACGATAACCAGCAGGTGGTTGAGGAGGAGGTCCCATTGGTTGACCTCGAGGAATTTGAGTTCCTTGATCGGGTCGGTTTAAGGGAGTAGTCGTCCCCTGGATGTTCATCACGCTATAAGTGAAACTAACAGAATAAGTCGATATTTTTTTTTGATTATTCTTCGGATACGTTTAAGCACATGAACTTTTTTTAATAAGATCTTATGTTTTAAAGAACTTCTTTAGAAGAAGAAAAAAATCCAGTTAAGAGGAAAAGATAGTCGGATGAGGACAGTGGATACATTGTTTGTTTTGTGATAACTGCATATGCGTAAGCCTCCATATCAAAAAAAAGCATGATTGAAATTCTTTTTTATTGGTTTCAGATCGAGCAACATCAGATGATCTTAATATTGAATTTGATTGGATGATAATTTTTGTAATATAAATGGTTAACCTTTAGGTTACTTATTTATTAAAAGTTATAAAGTTATTTAAATTTATTTCAGTTTAATTTATTTAATTCAAATAAATATTAATTATTCATTACATTCATTATATATTCTTTTGTATATATTTCAAAATAATTTACAAAAAAATAAAAAAAAAAATGAAAAAATGATTATAACTATGTACATAATTTTTATCACATGATAAATGGATACTTATTTGATTAGAGATATAATCAACTTTAACCAGTATAAATTTTATGATTAAAAAAAAAAATGCAAAAAAATATATAAACGATATAAAAATGTACTGGTAAAAATAACATGCTAAAACTATTATGTAAAATTGTAAAAATTGAAATATTATTTATGAAAAAAAAGGATAAAAGGAAAAAAAAAAATTATAATAATTTTAACATATATAAATATATATATATACACACATACATATAATTATAATATATAATTTATAACAACTTCTCAAGTTATTATAGTGCAAAAAAAAAAAAATAATAATAATAAATATGTTCTTTTAATTGTATTAGATATATAAATCTAATAGTCTAAGATTTCTTATGTTCATTGATGAATTTCTAATTGATTATCATCTCTCACTTTTTGGTCATCATTTAAATTATCATTATTATCCAAATTTATACCTATTTTATCAAAAGTATCAAAGTTCGTATGTTGTAAATCTACTAAATTTGTGTTGTCCAAAGATTCATGTAAATGGGAATTGACTGGAATTGAAGATTTCTCTGTGGATTCCTTTACATCATTATCTTTTTCTGTATCATCTTGAATACTTTTTGAAAATGTTCGGGTTTGTTGAACATTTGTTTCTTTTGATGGAATAGATTGAGAGATAGTAATATTAGGTGTAGTAGAAGATGATTGATCATTTGCAGATATATTTGAATTTTGATTAATTTTATATCCTGATTGGAAATCTGCGGACCAATCAGCAATAGTAAGTAACTGTTTACGCTCTTGATGATTTTGATGATTTGGTAAAGTCCATTGACTTGATGAATCCTAAAAAGAAGTTGAAGAAAAATAATAATAAGAATATAATAACAACAACAACAACAACAACAACAATAATAATAATATTATTATTATTCGAATGGAAATATTTGAACGTACATCATCATCACTATCCACGAAATTATCAACTGCGGACCGTCGATTTTCGAAAGGATCTCCCTAAAGTGACAAAATTGATAAAATGGTAAATTGGCAAATTGATAAAAATGACAAATTGGTAAAGTTGATAAAAGTATTTTACTAATCGGAATTCCGCATTTGGTTATTACCTCAAGCATATTTTGATTCATAAACGCTCCATGCATTTCGAAATCGGCATCTCTGTCGAACTCACTGAATTGAATACATTAAATATATGAACAAACAAATTAGAAACATTTGAATTTCAAATTTATTTTTTAAATTATATTTATTTATTATATACTAACCCGGTCCATCCATCATCATCATCGTCACTCTCATCAGATGAACCAAATTTGTCGGGTAAATCATTAGTTATTTGTTGACATAGATACCTTGCAAACTAAATATATATATATATATATATAATATATAAAAAAAATAAATATAAAAAAAATATAAAAAAAATATAAAAAAAATATAAAAAAAATATAAAAAAAATATAAAAAAATAAATAAATAATAATATAGAATCAAGTAATCAGAAATAGTATAAAGTTAACTAACTTGGTCACTAGCCATGTCGCCATCAGTAACTCCTTCAATTGCGTCATCCTCTTCCTCCTCTTCTTCACTTTCATCACGACTAGGAGACATACTATCAAGATTAGTAGGACGTTGGCCACCTAATGGTTCTCGATCGCGATCTCTTGTTTCACGTAAAGTTTTAGATACATATTCTTGCCAATCCTCAGCCTCAATAAATTCTAATAAATAAATGACAATAACAAAAAATAAAAAATAAAAAATAAAAAAAAAAAAAAAAAAACAAATTAGATTTATAAAATCTAACGATAAATTAGTAAACAAATAAATGCCAACCTCCAACTTTTTCACCAATTTCAACTGCATAACGATCAAGCAATTTTACGACTTCTTCTGCAATGAATGTTAAATGACCCATATAACCAAGTCTCACACCTTTTGGCTGTTCACTATAAATTATTTTATAAAGAAGAATAATAAAATAGAAATATTTAATTTTAGAAACCTTTAGATTATAATATTGGGAAAAAAAATGTACAGAAAATATTACTGATTACTTGCACTTCATAATCATTTAATCTTTGTGCATTAGTAATTCGCTTGGTGAGTTGACCATCAGTAAAAACCTAAATACAATAATAATAATAATAAATTTGAAATATTTCATTAAATCTTTAATGAAATTAAAAAAAAATCACTTAACCAAAGAAAAATTACATACTGAAATTGCCAAAGATTTATTGTATCCAATATCCATTCGTCCATTAAATATTTGTACGATCATATCGTACACAACGGTATGCAAGAAATTATTCCACTTAAAATTAAAGAATAAATCCTTTAAAGAAGATATCCAAGAAGATTTTCATTAATTTTTAATTAAAATAAAATAAAATAAAATAAAGAAATAAAAATTAATTCACAAATAAATAAATTCCTTACCAAGCATGTAGGTATTATTTTATATTCAATAAATTTAGCCTTTAATATATCACCAACTGGTAATTGAGAATTTGTTGATCCATTAGATTTATTTAATTGTTGGACCATGTGTTCTAAACCTGGAGGTGTCTTTATATTTTCGACAATTTCCATCGACATTGGTGATGAAACCGAAGAGACCGAACAGGAATCGGTATGATTTGTATCTTTTTTGTTTTCAACCTTTTGAACATTTTCAACATTATTTTGATAATTATTTTCATCATTATTATTTTCATCAACATTTTTATCACCATTTTGATCTCCATTTTTATCACTATTTTGATCAACATTTTCAACATTATTTTGATCATTATTTTGATTATCATCTTGATTTTCCACTTCAATTTGAGATTTTTGAATGTTTTGATTATTTTCATCCAATATATTTAATATATTTGTTTGCTTATCATGAGAAATGTTATGAGAAAATTCATGATCTTGATCTTGATAATCATCATCTTCGATATGTTTTAATTCATAAAATCCATTAATTGAATTAATTGAGTTAATTGATTTAATTGAATTAGATGTCGCATTAGTTGTATCTGTTGTATCTGTTGTATCTGTGGTATCTGTGATATCTGTTGACATTTCATGTTTAACAACGTTTAACAAACCCATATTGGAACAATGAAGTAATTCTGCAAAAAGTTCACAAATTCTAAATCTTTCAAATCCAAGTGGAACCATCTTTCCAATAGTTGTGTCAATTTGACCTGACTTTTGTAATGAATAAATTTAGTTTTTTTTTTTTTAGGAAATTCTCAAAATTCTCAAAAAATCAATAAATTATTAAGAGTTCATACCACAGACTTAGGATTTTCGAGCAATGCTTTAAAATCATCTACACGATTGGCCAAAACTTTTAACATATCACTCAAATCAACAGCTGGATATTGATGTTGATGTTGATGTGGTGATAATGAAAGCATTGCTTCCTCATTATAATCACTAAGATTAATGAAAGAATTAAACTAAATTATGAAAATTAAATAATATTAATATTTTTTAAAATACCTATTATTTTTTTGAATAATCTGTATAAAAATGGACACCGCATTCGTTAAAGTTGAGGTTGAGTTTGGAGCATTTGAATCGAGCATATAATCGACGAGCCGCGATACAGTCTTTTCACTTTAAATAATAATAATAATTAAATTTTTATTATAAATTAATTAATTTATTATAATCAAATTTTATAATTATTAATTAATTTTGATTATAATTTATTTATTTAATTTAATTCAATATTTTTTAATTAAACACAATTTTATCATAAACATTCATAAACATTCATAAAACCTAATAAGTTCTCTGCTTAGAGCATTAGGACCAACGCCACCTTGTTCCGGACTACTTGATTGAGAGATGGCGATAATATCGCTAATAATCTGAGCTGTAGTTGAATGTGCCTAATATAATTAATAAATAAAAAAATAATTAATAAGTATAAAAATAATAGTAAATATAAAAATAATAGTAAATATAAAAATAATAAAATATAAAAAATAAAATAAAATAAAAAAAAAATAATAAATAAATAATAAATAATAATAAATAAATAAAATTACATCGGGTTCAAGGTAAGGATTCAATCGAGATATTAATTCTTCAACAAGACCTTCAGAATTCAACCACTAAATGATATAAATCATATAAATTAAAAAAAAAATAATAATCATAATAATTAGTTCTTCATTCAAAATAAATAAATGCATTTAAATTTGATGTAAAATTCACTAACATCAATAATTCCAGCTCCTTCCGGATATTCTTCTACGCTAATTAATTTGAGTAATAAATCCATAATGGCTGACGTTTCCATATGATTCAACATTTTCTTTACAACATTTGGAATCGATTGAATAAATTTTACCATCTAAATTTAAAATAAAATAAAATAAATGAAATTAAATTAATTTAATTAATTTAATTAATAATTAAAAAAAAAAAATATTAAATAATAATTTTGTGTTAATGTAACTATTTTTTATCTCCTTTTCTTTTACCTCACTCATTTTTTTCTGCAATAACACTACATTGACTTTCATAAAATAACTTGCTTGTAGTGGATTTAATGGAGGTTCACGATCCAAAACTTGCCAAAATGAATTAAGCAAATCTCCATTATCAATGATCGCTTCACAAATTGTCCAAATTTCGCATGACAAAACTTCACACGCAACAAATGGGTATCTACAAATTCCATAAAGTCAGCTTCTAAAAAAAAAAAAAATTTTTTTTTTTTTTTTTTTTCTTTTTTCTATCATGCTTGACATACTTGAATTTTTGTCTTTCGTCCAAGTCGTCCCGAATTATATAATTTAATAGTTGGAAAAGAATTACTGGATCTCGAAGACTATTTTATTATGGAAAATTGTTGATCGATCTATCAAAGATAATAATATTTATAATATTTATAATATTCATAATATTTAAAATATGTTTTTTATTTGTCTTTATAAAACAAAAAAGTTTATCTTAATACAAGTAAATTAGTATGAATTCTGAGAGCATTAAGTAAAAGGATACTATTCAATTAACTTATTATTGTGTGCTTTGCATTCTTGAAGTAAATCTTCCTCGTCCAATAATTCTTCTAAAGTTAGATCTTCTTTATCCAAAAGTCCGTCAATGGCAGAGTGATTTAGACCGAATCTCCAAAACATTTTTCAAGAGTATTATAAATAATATTAATTTTCTTCGTCTAATAGATCTAAGTTTACAAGTTTAAATTTCCGGATTTCTTTACGATTTTTTAGTGCATGAATTGGTGGATTTATTAAATTTGTTAAAAATTGTTATCATGTGGAATAGTTAAATGAATGAACTAATTGTTTTCTATTTTGACATATTAACATATTAAGTTTCACTAAATTTATTTATTTTGAAATTTAACTTTTTACCATGTTCAATATTTGCTATAATTATAATAATTATAATAATTATAATATTTTTGTCAAAAAAAGTATTTAAAATGATTTAAACAAAAATAGTAAAATTTAAAAAATGATATTCTTTAACAATAACTATAATTAATCAAACCTTCCTTTTGTGTATTTCTTTATTTGACATGTATTAATTAATTATTGTTTTTATTTAATATATGAAATAACTATTAAAAAGATTACAATAAATAATATAATATAATATGTATTTTTTTTTTTTTAATAATACAAGAATTATAATTAAAAAATCTTATTTTACAATAAAGTGTAATTTGTTAATTGCTTTATTTTTATATGCAATAACAAATATGAAGAATTAATAATAATATATATTTTATTAACATTTTATATATCAAAAAATAAAAACTAGAAAGCATTAGTGATCTGCGTTTGAATCAACAATAATATAAAGCCGACCCAACCAACTTTAGTCTGGCCAATATTTTATTTATAATTCTTTGATGTGATGTAAGATTTATTTAATATACAATCTCTAAATTAGTAAGAGACTTTTTTATACAAGGTTCCAAATAAATATCATAATGAAAAACACCACATTGAAGACTAGTGAATAATTGTAGATACTGTTACCATCACTGCTCTTAGTTTTGCTATCATTGTTATTAGTTATAAGTGAACAATTATTTGCTCGATCCTAGAAATGAATAGAAATATTAAAATTAATAATTAATAAATAATTAATAATTAATTAATAATTAATAATTAATTAAATAATTAATAAATAATAAATAAATAATTAATAAGAAATAATTAATTAATAAATAATGAATATTACTTTCAAAGTCGATTCTGCATCTGTACAATTCTGTTCGTTAGAATATTTAATTGCTTCATTTTTTGCAACATTTCTCAACCAAATTCTTGAATAATCACTCTTGGGCAAAAGTGGATTCACAACATTTATTAAATCTTCCAATACTGCATCATTCATCAATACTGCATCTTCAAACCAATCTCTTCCTCCTGAGGGACTCTCTATTCCGTCTTCCCTATAAATTGCAGAATTTTTAACGAATTTGAAATTACTGTCTTTTGTCAAACCATAATTCTTGTAAACGGTTGAAATATCAGGAGCTAAAAAGGTTTCATCAATTAATATATCTACTCCAGATATAACATTAAGGAAATCCGAACTCGTTGTGTAAATTAAGGTAGAGGAATTGAAATAAGTAGCACCAGCATCTTCGGTAAATATTTTTTTATAAACTGCATCAGCAATCGTCCAAGATTCAGTATTGTTATTATATTCACTAGGTGCGATGTAACTTGTCCATGCAATTATCGGTTTAATAGATGATGCATTTGAATTCGCTAAATTCTTTAAACAATTATAATTATTGCTAATGTCATCATAAATTTTGGTAGCATTACTTTCAAGGTTAAAAAAGGCACTAAAGAATTTTATCCATTCAACACGATTTAATACTCCATTATCTGAAACAATTGAAACGCTCACAGAATTGGGAGTTGTAGGATCAACCATCGCACCAAACGTCGCGTTGAACGTTGATTCAAGATTAGATTTTTCAGTTGCATTGTTTAAATCGAGAAGGGTGATCTTGTTTTTTGAGGCTTGTAAGCATGGTGAAACGACGATAGAAAAAATTGTGTTGTCAAAACCCTTAATTGTAGATCTAAGCCCAAGAATCTAATATTTAAAATTAAATACATAATTAAAATGCGATTCATTCCATTATAAACCATCTTTTATTTTTTATTTTTTTATTTTTTTTTTTTAAAAAAAAAATAGTATACCTCAAGAAAAGGAATAACGCTACTATCATATATAGCAACACTTGTTAAAGGAATTGAGAAATTCTTTGTACCAACTGGCAAACCCTCCGGGACGGGAGTTCCACATTGGTAAAGAGCATAAGTTTCATTTTGGGCACGGATAAGTTTATAATTTTTAAAGTATTCTATAGTAAACAATTTTGCAGTAGTGACTGTATAAAAAAAAAAATATCGATAAATTCAGAGAAATTTCACATTTAAAACTGCGTATTTAAAAAATATTTAATAAATACCGTTAACCTTCTCCGAAAAATAATCTTTATTTTCATCGTAATTATTAATACATTGAGATTGAGCATTCACATCGTCATCAACCAAAAGCAGTAAAAAGAAAATGAATACAAGTAAACGAGGCAATTGATAAGCGTTGAAAGAGTTTAATTTTGTTAAATTCATGTTTTTAAAATTTATTATTACAAAACTTTATTTAAAAATTATCATCAAATGTAAAAGGTTATAAATACAAATAAATTAAATATATCTCGCATAAAATACAATAAAATACAATGCAACGTTCATAAATGTGTTTTACTCTTTAATGAGGTCTATCTTAAGAATGACTCATCTCATCTTTTTTTTTTTTTTTAAAAAAAAAAAAAAGGGGGACTATTCCGAATGGTTTAAATAAAATTTTTTGTGAAAAAGAGGATGTCATACAAATTTTAATAAAAGTTTCCTTTCGCGTCATGATTAAAGGCGATTATTAATTCACTTTTTTTTTTTGTGTATCAATTTACAAAAGTTCGATTAATCGTACAAAGTTTCATTTTATTGATAATTATTATACTTTAAGTTTTTTCCTCATTTCGGTAAGTATATAAATTAATTTTTTTTCAATTCAGGTAAAAAAACACACGTACAAAAACCACAAGCACACAAAAGTGTAGAAAGAAAACAAATGGGGGCATGCATCAACCAAAAATAATGTTGTCACATTTCTTACATATTTAAAATAGGAATTAGAGAGTATAAATTATATTAAGAATTCACTCTTTATTTTTATTTTTTTATTTTTCTGTTTTTTTTTCAATAATGTTTAAAAATATATAAGAAATATTTATAAATTACAAAAAAATTAAGATTACAGGACAGGAAAAATGAAATCTATTGATACTCGAATATTTATAATAAAATGTATGAAAAAACCTATATCTAGATAATGAAATTGATTATATTATTTTTTTTTAATGAGATGAATCGTCAATTGGGGGAAGATTTCTACTCCAAGGATTACAATTCAAAACTTCCGGTAATTCCTTAACATTTGGGAAGTAGAAAAATGCTATCGCTATTATTAGATAGGATATCTTTTGATATGAAATAAATAAGATAAGGTTAAATAAATAAGGTTGGTTAAATAAATAAGGTTGGTTAAATAAATAAGGTTATTAAATAAATAAGGTTTTATTATTAATCATCACACGAAAGAAAAACATTACTTACGACAAGCATAAATCCTTCTAACCAATTAGCTTTGCCATCAGCTACTAGATAATTAACAATCAATACAGCGCAAGCGAGTACACCAATTTCCAAATTATTGAAATCTAATGTTAATGGTCTAGAAGTTATCCAACCTACTATTACTAAGATAGGTGTGACAAGTAATGCAATTTGCTAAAATAATAATAATAATAATAATAAACAAATTAGTAAATAATAATAATAATAATAATAATAAATAAAATAATAAATAATAAATAAAATTCTTAAAAAGTGGTACATACCACAGAAGTATTTAATATTAAAGCAACGGCCAAATCAACTTTATCTTCTGAAGCTTCTTTGATAGCATCATAATGTTCCATGAAATTGGATACAACTGTTATAATAAAATTAGAAAAAATCATTGTTAATTAAATCAATTAAATTGAATAAAAATAAAAGATTCTCTCACAATAATGCAATAATGATAACAGTAACATACCACAAAGAGGTAAAATAACCATTCCTACAAATCCATTACCAAATTGGAAAGACTCTGCCAATTCTTCAATACTTGTAACTAAATATCTTGCGCATACTGAGATACCAGCAATTGATAGGCCAATTCTAAAATCGATATATATCAATAAAAATCATAATTATTGTTAATAAAAATTATGAAATTTTAAATGTTGGTAAAAAAAATCGTAACTTACAATAACAAATCAAATACAAGGAAATATTGTACTTCTTGATGATGAACTTCAGTAGCATCAATTGTCTAAATAGAAATTTTTAATTCAATCCAGAAAATAACTTTAAATAACTTTAAATAATTTAAAAAATTTAACATACCGCACTAGCGTGAGTCTTTAATTGAAACACCAACAATGCTGCATACACTAATAATAACAAAATTGCTATGGCATGGCTAATACTTTGTAAATCACACTCAATTCCAGTACCTTCTGGTGCAGCAAATTTGAATGCTGCTGGTGTAAAAAGAGCAAGAACAGCAAGAGCAAGTGTTGAAGCACTGGTTGACACGAAAAAAGAAGTTTTTAATTCTGCATTCATTGATTGACGTCTAGAACCCTTTCGTGGGAACGAGCCAGCTAAGAAAACTATACCAAGAACCTATTTATCAACATTTGTTATATTATATTATATTGTTACGAAAGAAATTTGAAATTAATGTCAACAAATTATTCAAATTACCAACAAAATGTTACACAAGATAGCACCGAGCACTGAAGAGCGAACAATTGCATAGTGTTTATCCATCAATGCATAACAAGTAACCACAAGTTCTACAAAATTACCGGCGAAAGCATGAAGAACAGCATGATAAGCCTTATAAAAAAAAAACAAAAAAAAATATTTAAAATAATAAGTGATTAATTGTGAAAATCAAGAAATTGTAGAGAAATAAAGAAACGAAACGTATTTATTTTCAGCACACTTAATACTTACAGGTCCTAATCTAGCTGATAAATCATCAATTCCCACGGTCATGATTTTTGACAAAGGGATAATCGCCAAAAAATTAACGAAAAACAATATCAATTCATTAAATTTGTATGCTTGTAAGATAAGGGCAGGAGGAAAGAATATCAGTAAAAAATTTGATTTCACAGTTTGTAATACAGCTCGGGTATTTCTATACCACTTCACTGGACTGCGTGTAATAATTTTTTGTTTATTCGGACGAATATAATTTATATCAATATCCTGAATTTCATTATTCGAAAATTCATTTTGTTCTGGTTCGATTTTAATTCCATCCGGCATTTTTGTATTAGATATTACTTGAATAATTTATAAGAATTTATTTCTTTAATATTATGGACCTTTTCTTTAATTAATGAAATTTTTGTTGGATAACGCGCGTAAAGGGAATGAAATAAAATAATGTATGACGACTTGTATTTTTTATTATCACTACGTAATCTGAAATTTATGGATCACCAAACGCGCGCCAAACAATTAAGTAAAGTTTTAAATAACATATTGGGAATATTTATTATTTTCTTATCGGAAAATCTTAACCGTTTACAGGCAGCATAAACTTCTCATATTTGGATATTAATTCTTAGTCAGATTGAATAATAATAAAATTAATAAATGCAAGTAATTTAAACAGTAATACAAAAGAAAGGAAAAAAGGAAACTTACATTGTTTATGATTTGAAACGAAAAGAAATCATCATTAATTAGTATTTTTATAAAGTTATTTTAAGTTCATTTCGCCTATTTGAAGTTTAAAATAGTTTCTGTTGTCTTTCATCTAATAAGTAATAAACCTAGACGATTTTTATGAAAGTCTTTGGAGGGGGGGGTTTATAATTTTAAACAATCTTCTATGATTAGTCTATTAATTTTTCGTTTATTAATATATTCATTCTAAAGTCAGATATACAAAATAAAAGGATCAGTAGTTACACGTACTAATCAAAATATAAATTTTAAATTAAACATTTGATTTTTTGATTTCCGGGTTTTTTTGTTCCAAACTGTATCTTGGCATTGTCAGTCCAAAAAAAAAAACATTTAAAGAATTTTGATTTAACAATTTTAAATATTTCTTTATTTCTTTGACCTTATAATAAAAATAAAAAATAAAAATTATTCAAGTTTTATCGAATATTTCAATTGTTAATAAGTATATTCTTATTATTTACACCTACAGTATATCTCACAAATAATAGAATAGAGAAATATTGCATTAGAGTAGAATATTCTGTATTTGCAAATTAAAATTTTTTAAAAACTTTTTCAATTCTCGCTTATTGCCACGTTTAAGGATATGTATAAATATAACATTGCTTCTTGGAAGAGGAAGATAATAATGTCTTAAATTATAATTATAAATATTAATAATGTATTCCATATATAGCATTAAACAAAAATATTTTAATAACAATAAAAAACGTTTGTGTTGTGTCTAATCCAAGTAGTCACCTGATACAAATACTAGCAGTTAGTTAGTGGTTTGACAAATAAAATTCTGTAACATACCCAACGTAGATAACGCAGATAATGCAGAAATAAAAATAACATAAGATGGTGCTCGATAACACATGTTCTAAAAACTATTACATTAAGAATTCTATTCAAAACCATATAATGGTCTGATATCATTCAAGCATCCCTTTCCATTCCTTAATTACCCTTTATATTAATTTCAAAGATTGGTTTAAATCAGAATTACGTAAAGGATCAATTGTATAAAATTAGACAAACAAATAACCCTGGTTTAACGATTCTATTATTAGTTTCAAAAAACAAACTAAAACCGGTATTCTTATTTCTATATTTTTATTATATTATATAATGTATGCGTGATATTGTTTTCAGACATACAAAGATTAGTCACGTGTCATTATTATTAAATTATTAAATAAATATAAAAATATTAGTTTCATCCATGAAACGCGAATGAGATGATACAATAAATAAAGTGTCGAGGAATTACCTCTCAACTTTATAAAGTTTTGTTGAAGTCACGACTTACGCAACTTTATTGACATACGCAGGTGAACCAACTTGCTTAGTCATCACATAAATTGTCCTCATATCCAAGTTACCATTGTCAACTTAAGTAAAACTCGTATTGTCTCCATTGAGTGGGATGAATTCAAGATGAGTAATTTTAATCTATATTTATTAATTTATATTCATAATAACCTTTACTATTTTTAATTAAAAGGAATTGAATTTTGAAAAGATTTACGAGAAAATAAATAATGGACGTCTGCTGAAAGATTAGAATCAATTGGATTTCGTGTATACGCTATTGGTAGAGCTAATGTTTAAATTTCCAAAGTTGTGTTTTCATATTTTTCGACGTTTCGTTTTATATTTTTATATAATACTTTTATAATGCTATAATAATATATACAATAAAATTTTCCGATTCACGTGAAAGATCTTTTATAAATAATGTGCTTTTAGAAGAAGTAAGAAAGAATCGGTTATCTTAATTATGAGATGTATAATTTATTATTTAATTAAAAGTATTTGTTATATCATAATAACATTATCAAGACTGATATTAATACTTTTAATTTGATCAATATATATAAATAAACATTTAAATTGTTTGCTTTTTAACTTTAAATACTTCATAATTGTCAATTGAAAAGTTTGATGATGATGTTTTCATAATAACTGCCATAACTTCTACAGCGACATTGATAATATAAAAGTAAAATGAGATTGAAAACTATTCATCCAAAAATCATCTACAAACTGTGGTCCATAACTATTTTGCTGATTTTTGCCTTTGTTAACAACTGCATACTGGGGATTTTTTTATTCTACTAAGAATTGAATTTTGAATATTTTCATTTTTTAATGAGAAAATAAAACTATCATTTGTTTCTATCCATTTGCCATTAATATTACTGTTATCCCATGCTAAAGGATTATCTTTAACTTTTACTATCACAACTGTACCAGAGTGACCATGGCAAATATCCCAAAATGTTTGTGGTGCAAATCCATCTCTATTACCACGTAAGATTAATTCGAATTTATATGGGATATTTGTTGAAGTAAGCATCGTTGTAAAATAGTTTTTAATGTAAGAAAATTTTCCTTAGACCATTCTTCAAGGTTTGTAGGGAGAGTAGGGTTTTGAGAAATTCCCCACTTGACGACATAATCCCAAATTTCGACTTCTTTCATTTGCAAATCATCTCTTTTGAGAAGTGACACCAGAGCAGATTCTTGAAGAGAAGTAAAATCTGATTATCAAAAATAAGATTGGATACTTGAATACAATATTATTACAATAATTTTGTCTATCAAAAATAGTACGATAGACCAAAGAAAAATACGTTTTTAACCAAGAAGCTTTGGTATCAATGAGAAGAGTTTCACATTTTTTGGTTAATTCCTCAAGTTCAAATTCATAAGCAATTAACATTAAGTCAAAAATAATTCTCCAAATTAGCAATTCCGCCATAAATATATCTAAAAGGTAAATTAATAATTAATAAATGAATTTATAAAATGATAATAATAATAAAAATAAATAAAGTAAAATTTAATTTAAATTAATATTTTTATAATTAATAAAAACTAACTTAAGAATAACATCAAAAATTTGAGCAAAAATGCTTGACTTGGTAATTGTTTTGAAATTATTTTTCATTCGGATGAATATTTTCTAATTCTCGACGGAAATACGGTGAACGGCATTTAATACGTTAGAATGTGACGCAGGAATTTTAAGAGATATATTTTTTTAAACTTTATTTATTTTGTTGAGTTTATTCGGTTTATCTGTTCTTTGATGATGTGATAATGGAATATTAGTAATTATAATAATATAAACTAAATAAATTAAATAAACTGAACGATGGCAACACAAATGATTATTCATATTAACATTCGTTAATTAATCCATTGATTATATGATTAATTGGTAATTCATTTGTTGTTGTTGTTGTTGAGAAGACCATAAATGAGTTTGATCCATAACAATATATATAAAATTGATTATTTTGTTGCTGTTGATATTGATAAGAGGAATAAGAAAGAAAAGGCAAATTATTTGATGGTTGCCATATTTGTTGTTGTCCCTTATTTATATTTGGCATATTTTGCACCAGTATTATTAATGATGTCGGCATCATCATTTGAGCCGGAATTATTTGACATTTTATTCAACTTGCTCTAAACTTTGATGATCTCTTTTCATTATTATTATTATTATAAATAAAATATAAAATCGAAGGAAATTATGAATGAATATAAATATATAAATACAGTAAAATTATATTTATCTCGGTAAATGAAATTAAGAATTAGGAGATCTTTTAGAAACATCATTATCTTTAACTTTTGTTTTTTGTTGATTCTCTTTCTCTTTGCTATTTCTGTTTCCAACATTTTAATATTTTTTGCTGTCTTTTTATTACCACCTTCACCAAAATTACAATCACGATATCATCATTGCTAATACTAACCATCCTTGTTATCATCATTTTTTCCCGTCTTTAAGGGTAATAGTATTAATTTTGTAAATGAAGATGAAGATGAAGTAGTAGCATTTGAAAGATTTTCGATTAATTTATTATAATTGAAGACGTAATATTTGATGTATTAACAGACGCGTTTTTTTGTCTATAATTATTAATATCTCTATTATTATCTTGATTCAATCAACACCTAATTTATTAGTTGGTAAGAAGAAGGATTAAACGTAATTTCAGATGGAGTTGGTGTGAAACATTTGATTTTGTTTCTTATTACTGGTCTAAAACGAACCATAATTAAATTAAATGATTAAATAAATTTAATTGTATAATAATAACAATAATAATAATAATATAAAAATTATCCATAAAAATTCTCCTTTTTGAAACTTTACAACGACAAGTTTATTCTTATTAACTATTTATGATAATTATCATAAAATTTTAACTTTCTCACCTCAATAATGTCACGAATCATAAAATTAATTCATATGTAGTAATTTTAACTATTATCATTTATTTGAATATTGAATCGAATAAAGATTTATAAAAAATATTCATTTGTTATTAGAATTGTGATTCGTTTAAAATTGTTTAAAATTATGATTATTATTAGAATCTTCCAAGAAAAATAAGTGATAATCTAAAAAGTATTAAGATGAGTGATTTGATTTATATTCCCTTTATGAAATTCTTAATTATAAACAGAAGTGAGTAAATATAATAATCGTGAAGAATTACATTGCTTTATAATGAATGTCAATAAAGATTTTAAAAGTATAATAATAGAATGATAATAGGCAATAATAATAGGTAAAAATAATAATAGGTAATAATAATAATAGGTAATAATAATAATAGGTAATAATAATAATAGGTAATAATAATAGGTAATAATAATAATAGGTAATAATAATCAACAACTTTTAAACAAAAATAAATAACTTAAAACTTCGACATATCCAAATCAATCATTCCGGAATCAACAGCTAATTAAGATATAAATAATTAATATTATTAATTATGAAAAATAAAAATTATATATTCATTATATAAAAATATTAATACTTACTAGTACTTAAATCTTCAAGTTTTTTTTCAAAATTTTCTTCATTCTTAGGTTTTGGAAGATTTGAAAAATTTAAAAGTCGACTGGTATAAATAGCTTGTGGATGTGTTTGATAATTAAGAGGAGTTGTATTTGTTGTAATTGTTGTATTGGTTGATTTTTGGTTTGCTAAAAATTCTTCATCTTTTTTAATTTGAATTACAATTTCTGAATCTTTCTTGTCTCCTTTTCTCAAATAATCTCTATAATCATTAAAATATTTCTTCAATTCTTTATACAATTCTTCAAAAGTAGGTCTATGATTAACTCGAGCATCCCAACATCGCATAATCATTCTTGTAATTAATTTTGGAATATGAAATGGAATTTTTGGACGTAATCCATTACATATTTTTATTGCTAAATCTTTATCATGTGGTATGTCATGATATGGAGGAATACCTGTAATCATTTCATAAATTATAATTCCAAATGAATATACATCAGCAAATTTTGTATATTCTTCACCACTCAATACCTCAGGAGCAATACATGGTAAGACCCCAAAAATATTCTTCTTTGTAGGATTATTTGAATTTAACTCTATTAATTTACTTAATCCAAAATCTGAAATTCTAATAAAGGATTTATTATCAGATGACAAAATATTTCCAGGATGGAAGTCCTGGTGAACTATATTTAATTCATGAATACTTTTAAACCTATTTGCTAATACACTTAAATTATTTAATTTCATCTCCCAATTAATATTATTAAAATTATTTTTTAAATAATCTCTAAGATTTCCATCTTTTGCATAGCGTAAAATCATTATATATTTGTGTGTTTCTGGATCTTGTGTAATTCCATAAAATTGAATTGAAACATAACTTCCTGATTTTAGATGAATTGCCACCTAAACAAAAATATCAATATATATATATATTTATATTTAATAGATAATATATTATATTATTATTATAAATAATTCAAATATTAAAATGTTAAAATATTTTACCTCATTAAAAAAATCTTCATTTAAATTTGCAAATTTATCAAACTTCTTTAATACTACTTCTTCTTGATTATCTCTTTTCCATTGTTGATTTTCAATATCCCATTCACTAATTGGTCCATCAATCCACTTAGCTAAATGGATTGTTCCAAATCCACCCTTTGCTATTTGTTTAATATATTTTAATCTGTTATAAGGTATCCATTCGATTACTTCATAACGACTATTTGCATTAAGTTGAGCACCTTGAATGAATTTATCTATTGCGTCATTCCCACTCGTCCATTTATCAAAATCATTTTGGAAATGTTTAGAGTTACATGGTTTACACCTATTCTTGGAAGTATTTTCTTGATTACATTCAGGGCATATCTTTTTAGTAGTTGCCATTATTTTATTCACTTATAGTAATATAAGCAGAAATTTTTTTTAAAAAAAATCAATAAATTTGTAGTTGAATTTACGTTTAGAAAAAAATTAATATGAGATTCAAAATAACGAATTACAATAATATTTATGTATTATTATTATTGTACACCCCACTACAGCTTGTGAAATAGAAATTTTCGAATATATGCACGTGATCCTTTCTTATTCTAAATAGTTTTTGATTCCGTTATAAAAACTGATGCAAGGTTACAAAATTTTAAAGTTTGTTTTCCAAAAAATTATATGATAAACCATTAAAAAATGCGTTCTTAACCAGGAAGCTCTAGTTTTCAATGATAAGAAGAGATTCTAATTTGTCTAATTTGTTGGTCAATTCAAATAGCATTCTCTAAATTAACAATTTCTCTAAATATATTTTTATTTTTAATATTTGCAAACAAGTTTCAAAATTTTGAAAAGGTAGGTAATTATTTTATCATTCTCATTGGTTGAATATTAATTGAGACGACGATCGGTATTTTAATTGTTCGTAAATTGTCAAAAAATTTAATGTAATGCAATTTTTTTTTTTTTTTTGTAATAAAATAACTCTCTAATATTATCGTGATGATCTGATCTAAGTATAAAAAAAAAAATTAAAATAAAATTCAAAATAATAATAATCAAAAATGTTACACTTTCAAAAGAATTTTAATTTAATAAATTTTTTTTTTCTGACATCTCGCATTTCATCTTATAACTCTTGTACATTTTTTATATCATATAATTATGTTCGAAATTTTTCATACAAAAAATATGATAAAAATCCAAATGTTATTAAAAGTATTGATAAATATAGCAATGATGAATATAACATTGGCGAATATAATAATGATACATATTATAACAATGATTATGATATGAATTCAAAAAAGATTTACGAAAAGAATTATAACAACAACAACAACAACAACAACAATTATGATGATGAGGATGAAATCAAAAGAAATATATTAAATGATAACAGAGATAAACCAATTTTAAAAGTAAGTGCTTATGATGTAGGAATATCTACAGAAGAAGATGTAAAAACTGAAGCTGACAAAGAAATTATTGCTGGAAAGTATACTGTACAATCATATAAGCTTCGAGACAAGGTTCACATATTTATATTTATATCTATATAAATCTATAAATTTTTTTATTTTTATATATTTTTAATAATATTATTCGTCTTTTTTTTTTTTTTTTTTTCAGGCAAGACCATTTATAGATTTTATGCATATGACAACAACTGGTGGACATGGTGGTGATGGATGTGTTGCTTTCCTTCGAGAAAAAGGAAGATCTCAAGAGCCACCATCTGGTGGAAATGGAGGTCGAGGGGGAAATGTAATTTTTATAGCATCACCTAGTCATTCTTCACTTCATTCTATTTCACGTAGTATTACTGCTGGTTCAGGAGAAAGTGGTCGAGGTAATATGAGACATGGTGCAGCTGGTAAAGATATTATATTACCAATTCCTTTAGGTACAGTAATTCGTGAAATTGATTATATACCAAAAAAGAATTCAAAAAGATTACCACCAAAAAATATTGATAAAATTATTCAAGATAATAATGATTTTGAAGAAGAAGAAAAAAAAAAGGATGAATTATATGAAGAAGAAGAATTTGATGAAGAAATAATTGAAGCTAAACGTAAAGCATCAACTTGGATTCATTATCCACGTTATGAAAATAAAAATATATTATTAAAAGATTTCAAAGAAGCTGATAATGATCTTAGAAGGAAACAAGAATTAATTAATTTTAATATTCATAAAAGGACTAAAATTAATTTAGATTTATCTATACCATATACACAATATATAGTATCACATGGAGGAGAAGGAGGTAAAGGAAATCCACATTTTGCAACCAATGTAAATAGATCACCAACATATGCATCAAAAGGAAAACCAGGTGAAATTCGATATTTAGAACTTGAAGTAAAAACAATAGCAGATGTAGGATTAGTAGGATTACCAAATGCAGGAAAGTCCACATTTTTAACAGCAGTATCAAATGCTCATCCTAAAATTGCATCATATCCATTTACCACATTAAATCCATATATTGGTACAGTTGATTATTTTGATAAATATCAAATAACCATTGCAGATATACCAGGATTAATTAAAGGAGCACATAAAAATATTGGATTAGGTCATTCATTCTTAAGGCATGTAGAAAGATCTAAAGTATTGGTTTATGTAATAGATTTAGTAACCAATGAACCATGGGAAGATTGGAAAACATTAATTAATGAATTAGAACAATATAATGAAGGTTTAACTAGAAGACCTTCATTAATTGTTGCTAATAAAGCTGATGTAACTGAAAAAGCTAAAAAGAATTTAAAATTATTAGAAACCGAAGTAGCTTATATTAGGGGTGAACAAGAAAAGGATTGGATAGCAAAAGAAAGCATTAAAATTTTTAAAAATTATGATCTCGAAGATTCCCATTTTAAAGGTTTCAATCCAGATTATAATCCCAAGGGTCGCGATCTCAATGATTATAAAGATAACGAAAATGAAGAGGATAACGAAGATGAATTCCATATTATACCAATATCAGCAAAATATCAAAAAAATATAGTGAAAGTTACAACTATATTAAGGCAGATGGTTGAAAGAATTAAAATGAAAGAACAGAAAGAACAGAAAGAAAATGAAAAAACTTTTGTAAATAATAATTATTCATTAAATCAATAAATAAAAAAATTTAATTAAAAATAAAATGAAATGATTATCTTTAAATGTTAAATATATTTAATAACTTAACTTTTGTTTTTGAAAACCAGAATTTGGACAAATTATTATTTTAGATATAATTTAAAATAATATTTATCAATAGATCTTTGAGATGCCTTAAGTTAATATTATTTCCCTTTCTTCTTTAGAAAAGTTTAGGACAGACTGATTCATCAAGTTTTAACTATCTCGATTTATTGAAATCTAATTAATTTAATTAATAACTGATGAAAGAAAATGTTATTGGATTGATTTGATTTAAGTGGTATAATGTTCCGGAGTACTCCATAATATTATGTAACTTTATTTCCATCCTATAAAAATTTTATCTGAAAAATATTCTTAGAATGATAAATATTTTTTTATATTGAAGATATACCACAAAAATATAAATTAATTTAATAATAAAATAATAATTTCGAATTTCAGTTGTTTATATAATATTATTATATAAACTAATTTATAAAATAAATATCAAAACTAACTTGAGAATAATGTCAAAAATTTGAGAAAAAATGCTAGACTTAATAATTGTTTTGATATTATTTTCATTAAGATGAATGTTTTCTAATCTAATTCTCTAATTAATATTTTTTTTACATTATAATCATATCATTAAGAAATTTTGAGATAATTTTGTCAAAAAATTTTAATGCCAAATTGATAAATTAAATACATTATAATAATATTAATATTATTTGTTGCGTTGAAAATAGATAATTCTATTTACTTATTTTATTTTTTTCTAGTGATGATAAAAATACAAATACATAATAAATTCTAATTTTATTTACACATATATTAGATCGATGATAAACCATATGTTAATAATAATGTATATAAAGAGAAATATAATAATATGATAAGAAAATGTCATTTTTGAAAAGAAATAAAAATAAAAATAAAAAAGAATAAAAATAAGAAAGTATAAAATAAAATAAATAAAATAAAATAATGTTTTATTTCATTCCCACACTACACTCTAAAAACCATTTACCCAAACCCGAGATAAAAGAATAGATAAGAATGAAACTATTTACAAATTAAATGCAGATTTTTTTTTTGTTTTGAACGAAAAAGAAAAAGTGCCTTTATATATATATAAGAATATCGTTTTAAAAGTCAGATTGACTGCTGTTACGACTGTGAGTGCCTTTATTTCGATGAATTAAGGTTTTCATAATAGGATGAAGGAATGATTCTTTAAAATAGTAATTAAAAAATTTGATAAATAAAGATAATAATAATAAATGATTAGTACAAATTTATAATGAATAATGATACAATCATAATACAATACAATAATACTTTAATAATAATTACTTTTCTTGGTATTAGCTATAAGTTCTTCCATTCTATGTTCAAGTTCTTGTCTTTCTTTTTGAAGATTTTCTTTAGCTTTTCTTTCTTCTTCCAATTCATCTTCGATAACTCTTTTCTCTTCGTAAACATTATATTTTTCATGTTCAAGTACGGTCATGGTTTCATCCAATTGAGATTTTAAACGATTGATTTGTTCAAAGAGTTGAGATTTTTCTTTATTTAATAAATCGATTTGTTGATTTGTCGCAATTATCACCTTTTCACTCTTGGTAAGTTCATATTCTAAAGAATCAATTAATACCACATTTTGATTATTTTCATTTTCAAGTTTTGTAACTTTTTGTAAAATTTTTTGAAATTCTCGAGTATTATCTGGTGATGAAGAACCATTTGAAGAATTATTTGAAGGACTATTGGAATGACTATCCGGTGAATTACTTGGTGAACTATTTGGTGAATTATTATTTAGTGATGGCAAAGGACTAGAAGAATCAGAAAGTATAAGTGAATTAGGTCGTGATCTAGGAATTCGTGATGGAGGCGATATATTATTATTATTTGGTGGTGTTGGTGGTAAAGGAAAAGTTGGTAAAGATGAATTATTATTATTATTATTATTATTATTAGGTGGTGGTGGTGGTGGTGGTGGTAAAGGTTGATTTGGTGGAGGAGTAGATGGAGGAGGTGGCTTAACTATAGTCATATTAGTTCGAATTCTCTTACTTTCCGAAGAAGAAATTGATAATTGTGAACTAGTCGATAATCTACTACTAAATCGATCAACTGGTTCATTTTCAGCTACCGATGTCATGGTACTGGTAGATGGACGACGACGTCTCGGTGAAGTTTCTTCTAATAATCGTTTTTCAAGTTTCTTTTTTTCTTCTAATAAACAATCTTTCTCTTGTTCAAGTTGTGATATTTTTTCGTTTAAATCTTTGATTGATGATGAATTATTATTATTACTAATATCAAATTCATTTTTCAATTTCGTTAAATCTTGACTTAAATTTAAATTATCAGTCTCTAAATCATTAATTCTATTTTTTTGTTTGGAAGCAAGTAAATCGACCAATTCATATTTATTTGCAATTTCGGTATATTCCGATGTTAAACCTTCAAGTTCCAAACCGAGATTTTTAATTTGTCTTAAAAGATCTTCGTTGGTAACCAGTTGAGAATTTTTTTCTGATTCCAATTGTTTATTAATTACTTCTAATGAATCAACCCGTTCGTGATATAATTTTGCTTCATTTTGGAATTTTTCAAGTTGAATTGTAAGTTCTTCAACTATCGAAGCATTTATTAAGTTTTTATTACTCATATCCAAAGATTCTTTTTTAGTTTCATCAAGTGATTTTTCTAACTGATCACATTTTTTCTTTAAATTTTCAATTTCAAGTTTAGAATTTTCGATATCTAGGGTATTTAAAACTTTTTGTTCTTTAATTGATTTGATTTCTAAATCTAAATTCAAAATTTTGAGTTGATTCTCATCGCGTTCTTTTATTAAATTTAGAATTTTTTCATCTCGTTCTTTAATAGCTTTTGTGGTAAATGATTCATTTAATTTTTCAGTACTTTTAATATTTTTAATATTCTCTTTATAAGTACTTAATTCCAGTTTAATAGATTGTAATTCTTCTTCCAATTGAAAAACATATTCATTTTGTTTCTTCGCCGAATTTCTTAAATTTGATAATTCTAATTCAAGAGAATTAAATTGTAATTGTAGAGTTAAAGATTTTTGATCACTCTCGGAATCTTGTAAAATTAAAATTTTAGATTTTAAATTTTCAGATTCCATATGTGATTCAACAAGTTTTAACTCTAATTCTTTAATTTCATTAATTAATTTAGAAATTTCAGAATTTGAATTAATTTCGATAAGGGATTTTTGTTGATTAAGAGAGAAGATTTCATTTTCTAGATCGGAAATTTTACTTTCATGTTGTTGTTGAATGAAAGTATCCAAAGAACGTAAACTTTCAATTTCCTTATTAAATCCTCGTTCTGTCCAAAGTGAACTTGAACTTGATTTAAGTGATTTTTCTTGTTTTTCTTGTTTTTCTTGAAAATTTATCCATTGATTTTTCATCCTTGATTTTAATAAATCAATTTTATTCCTTAATTCGAAATGTTCCTTTTCTGAAATTTCTAATTTTAATTTTAATTCGGTGACATTATTATTATCATCATTATTAATTTGATTAATTTTATTTACGGACGATAATTTGGATTCTAATAAATAAATTTTTTCTTTTTGTTCAGATTCAATAATTCGTAAATTAACTAGTTCTTGTGATAATTTTAATTCTCTTTCATTAAGTGACCGAATTTTCTCTTGTAATTCATCATCATTATTTGAATTTGATTGATTTAATAATAATTGTTCTTTTAAATCATTAATTTCGAATTGCATTTCATCTTGTTGAATTTGAACTTGCATCAATTGATTTTTATAATTTTGTACTTCAATTTCTTTTTCTTCATATTTTTTACGTAAATTATCTTGTTCCATGAAATCGTTTTTTAATATTTCAAACATTTCATATTTACGTCGAATATCTTTTAATAAATCTAATTGTAATTTTAAATCTTGTATTAATGATTCTTTATCTTCATTACCGTTATTAAAACGACCATAAAATTCATTTACACCATCGTCGTGATCAAGATCGAGAGTATAAGGTTTAGATTTATTAATCTTGTTATTATTATTATTGTTATTATTGTTGATATTAAGTTGTTGTTGTAATGACGCAAGTTTTAATTCAAGTGCTTCCACAGATTTTTGAGTAGAACTTAATATTTTACTATTATTATTTTTAATATTAATATTAATATTATTATTATTATTATTACTAAAATTGAAATTATTATTAATATCACTTTCAAGATTATTATCTTTTATTTTTAATTCAGCTGGTAATGATTGAGTTTTTCGATGAATTTCTTCTTTAAGTAAATTATATTCTTTATTAAATTTCATATCATCTTGGGTAAGAGCATTAATAGAAGAAGTTATAGTTGTTGAATTATGATTATGATTATGATTATGATTATGAGAATGAGAATTATGATGATTTATTGAATTTAAAGTTAAAATACTTGAAGAAGGAGAAATTGGAGTCATGGGAGTGGAAGGGTCATCATCCTCCTCTTCAATTGATTCATTATCATTATTAATGATCATAAATCTTGCTTCATTTAATTTTGATTGAGATAATTGAATTTTAATATCTTGTAATTCTTCAAGACATTCTTGATATTTAGTATTAATTTGAGAAAATTCTGCGACGGTTTTTTCATGAAGTTCTTGAAGTGAAACTAATTTTGATTTTAAAGTTTCTTCATTATGAATGTTTTCTTGAATGTTATCTTGAATGTTCTTTTGAATGTTCTCTTGAATATTCTCTTGAATAGTCTCTTCTTGGTTATTCTCTTGAATATTTCCATTTTTTTCATTGTTTACATTGTTTTCGTTGTTTTCGTTTTTTAGATTTTGTATTTTTGGCATTTTAAATTTATCAAGTTCGATTACAAGTTCATTAACATTTTCTTCAAGTAAATTTATTCTTTTATCACGAGTTATTATCTCATTCAATAAAACTTTCTTATCATCATCATTATTTAAATCACCTATTTTATCATCATTTATAACATTTTTGCCATCATCATCTCTATTATTATCACTAACATTTTCATGTAATAATTTAGTAAATTTAGCTTCTAATTCCAGAAAAGAAGATTCACGTTCTTTTAATCTAAATTCCAATGATTCAATCATTTTAATTTTATTACCATTCAATTGATTTTCGATTTCACGTTTTTTATCAGATAATTTTAAATCCTCTACACAAATTCTTAATTCTTGAATAATCTTTTGATCATTTTGATGTTCAATTTCGTATTGATTAATTTTAAATTCCAAATCTTTTATACGATCAGTTGACAATAAATCATTATTAATAATTTTTTGTTTTAAATCCGAAATCAATTTTTGATTATTAAAATTAAGTTGTTCAGCATATTCCAATCTAGTTTCTTGATCGGACATCACGGATTCGGCATGAGCGAGGGCAGCACGATTTAAAGCGAGTTGACTTTCTAAAGCTGAAATTGATTTTTCATATTCTTCTATAACCGGTTCAACTACTTCTTGAAAAGAATTATTATCAATTGTTGTAGTTGAATCATTATTTGTAGAATCATCATCATCATCTTTAACGATTATTGTTGGTCGATGATGATGATGATGAATTCCATTATCTTGATAAGTTGCAAGTTCTGCTGAAGTTTTTGCATATTTTTGTGATAATTCTGAATAAGAATTTGTCATTTGAGTTAATTGTTTTTCGAGAACTTCAATGTTGTCATCGTTATTGTTAATATTATTGTCATCATCATCATCATTATTATTATTATTATTATTATTATTGTCATTGTTAATCTCTTTAATCTCTTTGTTAAAAGATTTTCTATTTGTGATTATTGACAAAGAAGGTCTTTTTAATAAACGATTAGTAGTAGTTGTTGTAGGAGTTAAAGCTGCTGAAGGTTCAAGTGAATTATTATTATTCGTTGAATTTATTAATGATGATTGTATTAGAGTATTATTATTACTTCCATTACTTCCATTATTTCCATTATTATTATTATTATTATTATTATTATTGCTTTTTAATAATTTAATCTCACTTCTTAATTTATTTACTAAAGTTTGTAAATGATCTAAATCATTCCAACCCGCTTCTTCCTGATTTATGCTAACATTATTTTTAATGTTTCTAGCTCGATTAGCATATTTTAAGGTATTAACAGTTTCATTTAAATTATATTCGGTGGATGAGACACATGCGATCATTAATGTTTGAGCATTACCACCTAATGAATCTTGTAATAATCTCGTAAGTTTAGAATCTCGATATGGCACATGTGTAGTATGTTTGGCTTTGTTGGGATCACCTAATGCAGAAATTACGTTACCCAAAGCGAGTAGACCGGAATTTATTGATATTCCTTCTTTGGCTCGATCTCCTAATGCAGATGTTCGTTTTAGCTATAATTAATTGAATTTATCGATATATTAATATTAATTGAATTGATTTGATAAATTAATTAATTTGAAACAAATATAAAATGTGGACACAAAATAAATAAATTTAAATATAAAAATATTAACACACATACTCTTTCACTACCAGCCAAATCTACAAAATGAAATTTACTAACAACCGTTACTAATTCACCAGGACTTTCATCAAGTCGTTTACTTAATCTTCTTGCTCCAAACTTTGGTATTTCCAATGATCTTGATGGTAATGATGGTGATGATGATAAAGATGAAGATGATGATGAAGATGATGATGAAGATGAAGAAGATGATGATGATGATGATGATGATGAAGTTGATGATGATGATGAAGTTGATGATGAAGGTGGAGGTGGTGGTGGAGTAGTTCCTCTACTTGGCGGTCTTGGTGGTGTAGGTGAAGAAGATCTTTGAACATATTTTTGTTGTGTCATGGTAACGCTAAATATTGCGTGAGACCTTGAAGATTGAGCATTCATCTGCGTAGCTCCTACTTGTCGATTTTGTGATCCTCTTGATAAATGTCTATTAATATATTACATATTATTAAAATTATTTAATATATTGAATATTATTATAATTATAATTATAATTAATATATTCGAATATTATTATTATTATATAAATAGAAAATACTCACTTACCCCATTAATTCATCTACACAATTTACTTTAATTTCTTGTAATCCACTCCATAAAATATTGCCTTTTAAATCTTCTCTTATTGTTACATGTGATTTATTATCTGAGTCACCTCCTTCCCCAAATAAATCAATTAAATCTTCATTATAAATTTCAATAAATGATACTTTTATTGAATACTTATTATTATTACTATTACTACTACCACTATTATTACTACTATTATTATTACTTTTAATTAATTGAAATAAAGTAGTCATAGCTCGAGGAATTATACCTTTAGATTCAAAAGGTATTGATGAATTATCAGCTGTACCCATTGTATGAGTTTTACCAGATGATGTTTGTCCATATGCTAGAACTGTTACATTATATCCTACAATATTATTATAATGATAATTTAATTAATAAAGTAATAATAATAATAAATTATATAATAATAATAATAATAATAAATGATATAATAATAATAATAAATAAATAAATCATACCTTCTAAAAAATTATTAACCAATTTTTCAATAGCTCTTTCATAAACATCTTGTTGAGTTGACTCTGGTCCAAATACATAATCATAACTAAATATTTGTTTTTTTTCTGATTGAACTAATATTGTGTTAGGTGGAGATAATGAAAGTATTTGACGTTGAAATCTAGTTGGTAAATTGGGATTAAGTTCTGTTGATATTGGTCGTATTCTGATTGCTATTATTTGTTGATTGTTATTAATTGTTATTGATTGTTATTGATTGTTATCAATTATTTATTGTCATTTTATTGTTGTTATTGTTAATTGTTTATTTATTATTGTTATTGTTATTGTTAATTGTTTATTTATTATTGTTATTATTAATTGTTGTTAATTTTTATCGTGAGAAATTAAGCAAATAGGAAAGTAAGTTGAGTAAAGAAGATATTTAGTGTGAGAAGATAAAAGAAAATAGAAGAGAAGAGAATAACGAGAATAGAAGTGAAGATATGATACTAACCTACTTGTACTGAAGATTTTTCAGTTCCGTCTTCTTTAGAAGTTGTCATGGTTCATTTATTTGTAATTGCAACGTTTTTATCGTAATTGTCGCGTTGTTGTCGAATTGTCGAATTTGTCGAATTGTCGAGTTTGTTAAATTTATCGAATTTATTGAATTTATCGTGGCAGTTCTTTAAATTAATCTCGATCTAAATCATTAACACTATTTCATTATATTATAATGATTATAATAATGATTATATGTTAATTGAATCATTGAATTAATTGAAATAATTGAAATCATTACGCGAGAAAATAATAGAAATAATAATAATAATAATAAAATATAAAGTTAAAATAAATACCTTCAAAAAAAAATAATATTGATAATGATTATTGATGATTATGAATATGAAATATACAATTATACAATACAATACAGTTTGAATAATGTGAATAATGTGAATAATCAGTAGTTTTACTTTTTTTAAAAAAAAAGTGTAGATATTATTATTATCCTTTTTATATACTTTTTTTTTAAAAAAAAAACCTTTTTTAGAATTTTTTTGATCGAATATTTTCGAATGTTATGAGTGTTATGAATGTTGTTGTTATTGTTATTGTTACTGCTATATTGATTTTTTTTTTCTTTAAATAAAAAAACAACTTTATACAAAATATTTTTCAATATATATATTTTTTTTTTCAATAAAAATGTTAAAAATGTTAAAAAATGGAAGAATGGAATCTTGATATTTTTTGATAATATTGTTAATAAGAATAATAAAATAATGTTATTTTATGATGAATGAATGAAAATATTGAAAATATGAAATATTAATAGTGTATATATTTTTTTTTGTAGTTGATATAAGTTAAGTAAGTAAGTAATAGTTATTTTTTGTTATAAAAGTTGGTGGTGGTGGTGATGGTGATGTTTGATGTTGATATTATTCAGTTTATTATTATTATTATTATTGAAAAGCAATAACGGGCAGGCAAGCAAAGCAAAAGCAAGCAAAGCAAAGAAAAGCCAATCGTGCGTCTAGTGTGATGATAAATTTGGATATATATATATTCATATATATATATTCATATATTCATGTCAATGTTACGAATTTTATTTGTGGAATTACGTAAAAATATTATGCGTAGAATATATGTAGAGTGCTTATTTAGTGGTTTTGTTCGTGGCGGTTGAACGGTTAGTGGTGAGAATGTGAGAATGCGGTGTGGAGTATATTGAACGATAATATTAATTCAGAATATTTGAACGTAGCGATTTTGAAAAATAAATATTGACCGTTATTTTTACTTTGAAATGTAAAAAAAAATAGTTAGGTTAAAGAAAAAAAAAAGAAAAAATGTAGAATAATACATTTAAATAATATATACAATGTATGCATCGAAAATAACAATAATATATTATATCGTATTATATATGTCGAGATATGTAAATCAATTTAATAAATTAAAAAAATAAATTAAAATAATTGGATAAATTAAATAATTAAACAAAAGTAATTAAAATAAATAATTAAATAGAAATTTTATACTTATTTTTAACAAAGAAGTGTGATCATTCGCATGTTTATAAATATATAAATAAATTAATTAAATAAATAAAGTTTTATTTTTTTATTTTTTTTTTTATTTTTTTAATTTTTTATTACTTTTATTCCTTTATGCCTTTATATGCGTTCGTGTGACGAATATAAAATCAGTCAACTTAAACCTGCAATATGTAATATGTTGTGTATTATTTGTAGTTTTACTAAACGCTACACATGAAAATCATAAAAATAAAAATAAAAATAAATAATAAAAAAAAAAAATAATAAATAATAAATAATAATACGTAATAGCTGATAATAATATAAATTTTTTTAAATTTAAAATGGAAGAATGGATGATTATAGGATGGCACTGTACATTGTTCATTCAATGATCTATATTTACCTGTTATATTTACTAAAAAATTTATAAACTTGTAATTTACTAATTAACTAATCTTGAAATACAAGAAAAAAAAAATACTAAAAATACATGCTGAAATTATAAAAAAGACTAAATATTATAACTAAAGATCTGAATTGGTACAAGTCCACATTAATTTTTCTTATTATGTACTCTAAATATGCAATAAAAAATACATTAGATATGCATACAATATATAATATAAAATATCAAATATCAAATATACAATATGTATACTCTAATTCTATAAAAGTGTAAATTTGAATGCGTACATTTGAATGTATGTATACACTTTAAGTGTACATTTTAACTGTTAAGCATACATTTTAAGCGTGACCAATGTAAAGTAATACGAAAGTATACAAAAAGTATACCTTTTTTTTTTTACACATATAGGTTTATTGTGTAAATAATACTGTATTAATTAATATAATGATCAATATAATAAGGCTTGGCTTGGCTTTATTTTAGCCGCCGGAGATAAATAATGATTTTTAAAGATTAATTAAAGAATTTTTTTTTATTTATCGAATTTTTTTTTTTTTTGGCGAATTGAAATTTTTTATTAAATAAATACTGTAAATACCATACATACCGTACACACGCATATATATAGTGAGAGAATTTAAGGTTGAACGGTGTATTTAATTTATTAGTAATTTGTTAGTGTTTGCGCGATATGATCTATTATTATTCAATTCAAAATTTTGTTATCGTTAATTCAAAGTTTGCGCGAGATAGTCTAGAAACTCATCAGATAAAAGTTTTTTTTTTTTTGTCTTTAGAACTTTATATTATAAAATTATAAAATGAACCGTTATTTGTTATTCGTGTAACTTCGTCTATTGGTTTATATGTTATGTTTATTTATATAATAATAATTATTGGTGTTAATTAATTGTGTTAATAATTAAATTTATAATAATTTTTTATAAAATATATTAAAAATGGAAAAAACTAAACTATAATGATAATAATAACAACTGTGGATGCTTAGACTTGTTTTAGGGATTTCTGAAGAGTAGAAGTTGCATTCCTATATTTGTAAACATTGATTACTAGTTTAAGAAAATAAAAATATATGTTGAATATTTTCACTAGTTAATTTACAAAAGTGGAAATAGGTAAAGGAAAAAAATCTTTTATAAAAATTTTGAATTAAAAAATATTTCCAATCTATATGGATGCATTTGGTAATTTCTGGGATTCCTCTTATCCCTTAAACAGTAAGCAATTTCAGGCAAATTTTTTTTAATTATCTTACATATAAAACTTTATGTAAATTTAAGTAATGTTCCAATCCTGCACTAACAGTAATGCCAAAAAGTTCCCAGGTAAATATATACACAGATAGCAAGTGTGCTATAGATAATATGAACAAAGTCAATAAAGAAAAAATAAATTATATATGGAATAATGTCAAAAATCCTATTATACTTCAGACTATAAAAGAAATTATAGATGAAATGAAACTACAAATTAAGATATGTAAGGTAAAAGCACATGAAGGAAACTATTTTAATGAAATGGCAAACTAACTAACACAAGTTACAGAAAAAACAATAAAAGAGAATTATGTGATCAAAATTAATTACAATAATATTGGAAACAGATCATTTATTTCAACATGAGAAGAAATACTCATAGAGCTCCCTATAAAGCAGGCTTTAAAAAAAATAAATACAATAAGAAATAGACAATGTTGAAAATTGCAAAAGAGGTTTCAAAAAATCTTGGATGATGAAAAAACACAAAAATTGACTAGATTACTACATTTAAAACATTACATCCAAGTAAAATAACAAATGATAACACAAACAAAGAAGATCACATTAAAAGAAGTTTTGCAATAAAACTTTTTAATGAAGAACTGTCTGTAATGCTCAAAAGATTCAAGCATCAACTTCACATATATAACAGTTCAAAATATATATTATGTAGAAGGTATGAGGAAACAGATATACATGTGTTTGAGTGCAAAAGAAATAATAATAAAGAGAGTGAATGCACACCAATGACAAATCATTACAAATAACTAATTAATTGCCTAACTATAATAATTCAAAAACAAACAAATGAGATAGAAGAAGACAAAATACAAAGTAAACTTAAGTCCCTAAGTGAGTTATAGAAGTTTTGGAGAGATACAGATGAAATGAGTTCACCTAGGATCACATTATACAAATTAATCAAGGAATTCATATCACAATCATTAGTATTCAAAGTTACATCAATGTTGAAATCTAGAGAAAGTACCAGGGAAGTAATTATTAAAGAAATGGTTAACTTTAAAGAGTACTTAAAAGACTACTGGAAAGAACAATGTGAAAAAGTAGTACTATAAGAAACTAAAAATAATATTACAAATAAATTGAAAAAGAAAAAAAAAAGGAAAAACTAATTTAAAAAAGGTGATGGAAATAAGAGAATATAATGACATTATAAAGTTAATAGAAATTAATGAAGGAAATATAGTAAAATAAAACAAATAGAAAAGAACACAATACATAAATTTAGAATGTGGATTAACTTAGGATACAAATATAATAATCTTTATAATAATTACATCTGATAGGGTTTTAGCTATCAGTTCCTGAGATTACACTTAGGCAATGATGAATTATACCATAAAATATTCTTTTTAGTCAGTTTCAATAAATGCAAAATAAATTATATATATCTTTAAAATTTACACCTAATTTATTAATAAAAGTTTATTGAAACAAGACTCCATTGGATTTAAAAAAAAAGTAATATTTCAATCCTAAATTTAGATTTTCTCAATCAAATTTGAATTATAATCCTTATTCTTAAATATAGAATGGATCTGAATCTATTTTTATTTTTTAGGATTCATCTTTATTTTAAAGAATCTATTTTTATTTAATATCATAATGATATTTTGAAATTTTATTAATTTATATAATGTTAAAATAAATAAAAAAATTAATTTTTAAAATTTTATTAATTAAAATGCAAATTTACAATTTAATATTATTTATTTTATAATTTTATTATTATTTATTTTTCAATTTCATCTTATTCTTTTGTAAAATTTTTATTGAATTAATATTTCTTTTTTTAAAAAAAA